GAAGCCCGATGCGGGACTCAATCCCAGGACCCTGAGATCATGACCTGAGCCGAAGGCAGACGCTTAACCATCTGAGCCACCCAGGCGCCCCTGCCCTGACGATTTCTGAGAAGGAACAAGTTTTGTGGGTGGGGAGAGATCAAGAGTTCGGGGTGGGAATGGTTAGTTTGCAATGCATGTTGACGTACATACGTGATGTCAAGTAAGCAGGTGGCTACCAGAGCCTGGAACTCAGAGGACCAGTTGGATCTGGAGATATTTTACAGTGTGTCACCAGTGAGGAAAAGGAGGATTGGAGGTCCGGGACTTTGCCCACTGGGCAACCTGGAGGGCTGGTGCTTGAACTCAGGACCGCCTGACTTCAGGAATGAAGCTTCTGGATCATTTGCAACTCTGCCACCTCGTGGCCATCTGGCCTTGGGCACATTACTTCATCTGCCCACTTCAGTTTCCTTATGTTAAAATGGAGATAATATCTACTTCACAGAGTTGCTGTGGAATTAAGGGAGATAATAAATGTAAAGTGCTTAGAGAGGGACCTGGACCATAGAAGGATCACATTCGTGGTAGCTGCTGTTACAGATGTTGTTTTGTTATATAACTAAAACATCTAGTGGTGGGAAGTAGAATAGTGGTGGCTTCAGGTCCACCTTAACTCAGACTAAAGTGATGACTACAGCCCCCAAGTCCCCCCTATTTCAGCCCCTTTCACAAATGGTTCTTCCCTCATCGTCACAGGATGGCTGCAGTGATTCCATCCCTCACATCCGCTCAGACTCAGGGTAAGAGGGAAAAGCACAGCCTTCAGCCCTAGGACTCTTGGCAATGATTTCACTGGTTCTGATCCAATTACATGGTTAGTTCCTGAACTCAAGAAGGAGCTCCTCCTCTAGCCCACTGGGTGGGAGTCAGAGAAGGCAGGTTCCCAAAGGGAAATCTGGGCTGTTCTTGGAAAAAAGAGTCATAGAGGCCAGGGAAGCAAACCACAAGTGTCTACCACTGGAAGGCTTATGTTTTTTCCTTCTACTCTGCCATGGGAGGTTCTGGCAGACATCGTGGCTCCTTCACAGAAGAGCAAGGCCCTTCGGAGCCAGAACATTGCGGCTGTAGCACTCGCCTGCATGTCTGCTGTTCCAGCCTCTAGGCTTTGGGGGCCTGATAAGGGAGCACCCTCTCAGCTCAGACTTCCCCAGCTTCTTTACAAGTGACAGTCTGGTAGCATTTACACAGATACGCTATTGGGTGCCTGCTCCTCTAACAGACCCTGACGTTTTTAGGGAGCCAGTGTGGCCGGCTCCCCAAGTCCTCACCAGCCTAAGGGCAATCGGGATAATCCCAGATTCTCAGCCTTCCCAGCTTTCCTTGCACCTGGAATGGCCATATGTGACCACATTCTGGCCAATTAGGCATCAAAGAAAGTCTGTTGAAGTGTAGGGGGAATGTTCTGGCAAACATCCTCCTTCCTGACTAGGGTCAGATGGGTAAGAAGTAAGAACAGTCGTACGTCACCCCTTTCTTTCCCCCCCTCGCCCATGATTCAGTGCGAAGTGTCGCTGTGGCTGCCAGCTCGCTCCTCTGAGGCCAAAAGCCAAAGGTGTAAGCCAGCAGCATACTGAGGGACGCAGAGGAGAATGGGGTGGGGGCAGAGAAAGCGCCTGACATCATTCCCATGTACCAAGAGTGGAGGCACCGTATCTGGTGGCCTCCTTGTGACACAGGATAATGAGAGGTCTTTACTGCCCGAGCCACCAGCGGATGGGACTCTGTTGCCTGCAGCCACAGGCCTCCCACCTGACTCTCCCACCGCCCCTCGCTTCTCCTTGTGCTTCCGCCCCCCCCATGTTTCCCCGTCCACCATCCCCAGCTGCCTTCCTTGTCCACGGCACTGTGCATGAGTCCAGGTCCTCTGTTGCCAGCAGCAGAAGCCACTCTTGACAGTCTTGGGCAGAAGCAGAATTTATCAGGGGCTGACCGATTACCAGGAGGCCGGAGGAGCCGGCGTAGAGAAGAGGCAGGAGCCAAGGAACACTGGCGAGAAGACACTTGTGCAGAGAGATCCACGCGGACACCACTCAGCCGCCGAGCCCACCCCTGGCTGTGCTTCTGTAATTGGGGGCAGGGAGAAGAAACAGGAAGGAGAGAACCACAGTGATAGGAGTGGCCAGGACATAGGCGGTATTCTGCCCATTTTACAGATTGAAACTGAGTCACGGTGTTAGTAACCAGCCCGTGGCCTACTAGGATCTGAACCCAGGCAGTCTGGCCCTCAGAATAGGGGCTTCCGCATCAGGAAGATGGGGGTGCTCTTGGGAGCGGGGAGCTGGACAACCTGCAGCTGGAAAGGGACCAGTGTGCAGCAGTCCCCGAATCCCACAGAGGCTGTGGGTATCACTCAGCCTCTTAGTAGCACAGGGCGACTTGGCTACACCTGCTCCTGGAAGGGATCTGTGGAAAGACACTGGGGCCTCAGGAACATCTGTGTGTTTTCACAGAAGAGAGCAAAACAGATGGGGGTTTCTGACTGAGCTGGAAACAAAATGCCATCAGCAGAGCCCATCTGTCGGGAGGTGCTTGCATAAGCAAGTCAGGGTCGCATCTGGGCCGTTGGTTTTCCCAGCCAGCCCCAGTGTGGCCTCAGAGGGCTGATCCTCCGTGCTCTCCCAGGGTGGCCCAGGGGTGCCCCTGGCCAAGCTGCACCCCCCAGTTTGGCCTGGGATCCAGGGCCCCACAGAGTATAGGGGCACTCCTCTCTGGCGAAGCTGCTGCGCTGACCCATCACCAGAGGTCACAGAGCAGCATCCCCTGCCCCAATTTAGCCCACATACTTATTTTGTTGACCCTTACTTGGTTTTTGTTGGTAGTGTTCTTAAGTATTTCTTTATCGGCCAGAAGTACATGCAAGCAATTCCAAAGGTAGCCAGTGGTGTACAATGAAAAGTAAGGCTCCTTCCTTCCCCTACTTTCAAGACACATTTAGATCCTGGGGATACAGCAGTATCTCACCTTCTCATGGGGTGGGGATCAGGAATAAATAAGAGAAAGAAGTGAGTATATTGAGAAGTACTAAGGAGCAGAGTACAGCAGGAGAGGGGCTGGGAGTGGGGGAAAGAAGCCTACTTCCCCTTCCCAGACTGTTAGCAGTTTCTTGAAAATCCTTGTAGAAGTCTTCTCCACATGGTAGTTGGTTGTCGTTGCTGCTGTTGTTTTTGTTTTTCAACCTGGGAAAAGTTGCATACAGTTCAAGATTTCTGATTTCTACTTAAAAATCCAGTGCCCTGGCATCCACATCCCCGCAAAGCTTGGTCACCGGAGCTGAGGTCCACCTGCCTCTATAGAAATGCCTCTGCTGGGGTGCTGGGGCGGCTCAGTCGGTTAGGCGCCTGCCTTGGGCTCAGGTCATGATCCCACGGTCCTGGACTCCCTGCTCAGCGGGGAGTCTCCTTCTCCCTCTGCCCTTACCCCCGCTCGTGCTTTTTCGCCCTCAAATAAATAAAATCTTAAAAAAAAAAAAAAAGAAATGCCTCTGCTGTCCCACTCACCTGGCCTTGCTTCTGTCTCCCTTAACCAACCTGGCCCTGGGGCCTACCCCTGCCCCCCCTTCTCTGCCCCCTCCCCTGTGTGCCTGCCTGCAACATCTTTAGGAAGATGCTCCCTTGGGAGCTAGGAAGAGGCGTGCACTCTTGCTCCCCACTCCTCCCTTCTGATTCTTACTTTCTCAGATGTACAGGCTCGCCTCACTGTTTTGCTCCATGAATCTGCTTCATGCTGCCCCCTGGTTCTCTCTCTGCCAGCTTGTTCCGTAACTATGGGCATGAGTTAGGAAATGCCCCCCCCACACACACACACATGGCCTTCCCCTTACCCAGAAAGCACCATTAGTCATTGGTGGGCTTCTCTTCATAGGGAAGGCTTCATTGAAGAGTGGACATCATGCAAGGGAGCCAGCTTGGTGAAGAACCAGTGGAAGCATATCCAGATATCCTGGGTGGGGTTTGGTATGTCAGCAGAACAGAAAAGAGGGCCAGTGTGATGGGATCTTAGGCAGGGATGGGGAGAGGCCTCAGGGAGACTAGCAGGGGCCAGAGCCTGTGGGGCTTGTGGACCAGCAGAAGAATTTGGATTTTATTCTAACGCATTAAGGAGCCACTGGGGAGATCTCAGCAAAGAAGTAACAGGAGCTGATTTACTGGCTCATGGTATCTATTAATCACATAGAGTTCTAGAGACATCCCCTCCCCCAAATCTACCAGTAATCATGGTGACTCATCTGTCATTTTTACTTCCTTTTTGGTGGGGTGGCTGGTCAGGCAGACTGCCGGACAGATAGACAGCAGCCCAGCCTCTACCTGCAGGACTCACAGGGGGCAGAGGAATGTGTTTAATGACACAAGGGAAAAGGCAGCCAGATCCTGAAAGTGGAAAACTACATGGGACGAGTGACCTCATTCCTTCCACAAGTGAATAGCGTCACAATAAAGGTGATGGGCATGGGGGAGACATTATAGAAGAGACTTAGAAAATATACCTGCCAAAGTAGAGTAGGGATCTTGTTTTGGATCCTGATTTAAACAAACCAACTCTAAAAGACACCTTTGAGACAATGGGGGAAATGTAATGCAGATATGGGGTATTACATGATATTAAAGAATTCTTGATAATCTAGATGGATGTGATAAAGGTATTGCGGTTAATTTTGAATGGCCTTACTGCTAGATATATAAGCTTAAGTTTTTACAGGTGAAATGAGCTGATACCTGGGATATATTCTAAAATATTCTGTCAAATAAAAGTATAGGAGTGGGTGGGTAGATGAATCGGGAATCGTTAACTGTTGTTGAAGCTGGTGGGGTGCTCATCCTGCTCTTCTTTGCTTTGAGTATGTTTGAAAATTTCCATAATAAACAGGTTTTTTTAAATGAGCATAAAGCTGCCACACAGAAAAAGTCTTTCTCTGGGAACAGTAACATCACATCTCACCTTTGCCTTCTCTCCTTTTTCAGCATGGCAGGGAGGACAGCCCAGCAGCCTGCTGACCCGCACCCACATCTGCTGCCTGCTCTGTCCTGCTGAGCCACTCATACTGGAAACCCCAGGACCGCACCTGCCTCCTGAGGTTGTCCTGGCTCAGTTGTCCACAGCGATGGTGGAGAACTGGACTCCACAGGCTCACAACCTTCCCGTCAGGCTTCAGGGGCCAGCATCCTTCATCCTGGGACTGGTGGTCCTGAACAATGGCTGAGGGCCAGGGGACCCCATAAAGTCACTCCACAGCTCACGGGGGCCAGTAGCACTCCAGTGCCCGTGGACTATGACCACCTATCGGCCCATCCCCAGTGATGGTGTGGACCTGGCAGCCAGTTGTGGGGCCAGGGGGGCCGACCTCCTCCCGGGGCCACACACTGGGGACTACGCTCCCATGGGATTCTGGGTCCAGAACGGAGGCATGCCCCAGCCCATCGGTGAGAGCCCAGTCAGTGCCGCCACCCGCCCCAGTCCCACCACCCCTGCAGTGCCCAAGATGGGGGTGCGCGCAAGAGTGGCCGACTGGCCGCCCAAGCGGGAGGCGCTGAGAGAGCAGAACAACCCAAGCCCCTCACAGGACGCAGACGGCGCGAAGGCCGCAAAGGTGGCCCATTCCATGAGGAGCATGCCGAACGGACAGCCCCCCGTCAGCGCCGTGGCTCCCTCGGGGCCCAAAGCCTTCCCCCGACTCTCCAGGAGGAGGTCCAAAGACGTGGAATTCCAGGACGGGTGGCCCCGGTCCCCTGGCAGGGCCTTCCTCCCCCTGCGGCACCGCAGCAGCAGCGAGATCACCCTGAGCGAGTGCGACGTGGAGGACGCGGGCGAGCCTCGGGGGCCCCGGCACGCGGCGGCCCTGCCCCTCTTCCGGGAGTACGGGAGCACGTCCTCCATCGACGTGCAGGGCCTGCCCGAGCAGAGCTTCTTCGACCTTCTCAACGAGTTCCGCAGCGAGCAGCCCGAGGCCGCGGGCGCCCGGAACCTCCGCGCGCTGCTCCCCGCCGCCCCCGGCGCCCACGTCCCGGGGGGCAGCGGCGGCGCCAAGGCGGACCCCCGCAACGGCCAGCCCGCCAAGGACAGCCTGCTGGGGCTCCAGCCCGCCAAGGAGAAGGAGAAGGCCCGGAAGAAGCCGGCGCGCGGCCTGGGCGGCGGGGACGCCACGGACTCGTCCATCTTTCGGAAGCTGAGGAGCGGGAGGGCGGACGGCGAGGCGGGCCGGGCGCCGGGGGAGGCCGAGGAGGGCCGGAGCCCCCCGGAGGCCGGCCGCCCGTGGGTCTGCCAGAAGAGCTTCGCCCACTTCGACGTGCAGAGCATGCTGTTCGACCTCAACGAGGCGGCCGCCAACAGGGTGGCCACGGCGCAGCGGCGCAACACCACCACGGGCGCCTCGGCCGCGTCCGCCACGGCGGCCCTCTCGGCGTCGCGGGCGCACGGCCTGGGCGGCCTGGACGCCGCCTTCCCCAGCACGGAGGACCTGAACTGCAAGGAGAACCTGGAGCAGGACCTGGGCGACGACAACAGCAACGACCTGCTGCTCAGCTGCCCGCACTTCCGCAACGAGATCGGCGGCGAGTGCGAGCGCAACGTGAGCTTCTCGCGGGCGGCCGTGGGCTCCCCGGGCGGCGGCGGCGGCGGCGGCGGCGGCGAGGGCCGCGCCGCCGAGCCCGCGCTCAGCGCCCACCGCACCAACGCCAGCATCTCGGTGCTGGAGGTGCCCAAGGAGCAGCAGAGGACGCAGAGCCGCCCGCGGCAGTACAGCATCGAGCACGTGGACCTGGGCGCCCGCTACTACCAGGACCACTTCGTGGGCAGAGGTGAAGGGGCGCGCGGGCTGGCGGGCCGCAGCTTGTCCCCGGGGCTCCCGCTGCGCGTGCCTTCCCTGTGTGCCAGGCCCCGAGGATGCAGCGCGGGGGGGGGGGGGGGGGGACGCGGTGCTGAGGATGCAGTGAGCGGAGCCTCATCCAGCGCTTAGCTTGGTGCCTCACACAGGGATGAACTCGCCAAAGCCTCGAGCCGCAGGAGACGATAGGCATTATTTAGCATCTGTGTGCTGGGTTCAGCTATGGGCCAGGCCCTTTCTAGAGCCTGGGGATACAGTATTGAGCAGCTTAAAACTAAGATCTTGTCTTCCTAGCACTTAAGTGGGGGGAAGGCAATAAAATTAGATTGATGTGTAAAGTATATAAGGTGTCCTAGGGTGGCAAGCGCTATGGAGAAAAGTAAAGCAGGGGAGAAGGAAATAGTGACCAGATCACAGGCTGCATTTTCAATAGGGAATGGCCTGGGAGGGCCTCCTAGGTAGGTGCCATTTGAGTACTGGGCTGAAGGACAGAGCTGTGTGGAGATTGGGGACAGTGTTCTGGCACAGGGAAGAGCAAGTACAATAGTCCTGAAACACTAAGGAGGAGGAAGGAGTCCAGTGTTGCTGGGACAGAGTGACTGAAGGAGAGTGGAAGGAGCCCAGGCAGAGAGGTGATGGGGGCAGATTGTGTGGGACTTTGTGGGTCATGGTGATGAGGACTCTTGCCTGCACCCTGAGTGAGATGGAGCCACGAGAGAGTTCTGAGCAGTCGAGGGCCCTGATCCGACTCAGGTGTTCACAGCCTTCCTCTGGGGGACAGACGTGGGGCGATTGGGAAGCAGGGAAACCAGGGGGGAGGCTGCTGCACTAGTTCAGGCAGGAGGTGATGATGGACAAGTCTAAGTTGGGAGCCCATGCGTGGCGGAAGAAGCCAGCAGGTTTTGGATCCCCTTTGAAGGTGGAGCTGTTGATGTTGCGAAGGTGTTAACACCAGGGAGAGATGGACTTCCTCTGTCACGAGGTTCGTCAGTGCTGGTGGGGCAGTCGCAGGAGACAGCATAGCCTAATGCAGAGGCCACAAACCCAGGCAGCTAAGGGGCCAGGCAGCGACTGAGCAAAGGGCAGTCCCTGCTCAGCCCCACCTCACTGTAGGCATGCAGGAAATGCAGGAAAGCCCATTGTTGCCAGCCTTTTCAATTTTTCTAGATTCTCCTGAAATTAAGTTCATTTTTGTTTTTTTTTTTAATGTGGATTCTCCTCATTTTTATTTTTTATTTTTTTTAAAGATTTTATTTATTTATTTGAGACAGAGAGAATGAGAGACAGAGAGCATGAGAGGGAGGAGGGTCAGAGGGAGAAGCAGACTCCCTGCCGAGCAGGGAGCCCGATGCGGGACTCGATCCTGGGACCCCAGGATCATGACCTGAGCCGAAGGCAGTCGCTTAACCAACTGAGCCACCCAGGCGCCCTCTCCTCATTTTTAAATGTTGACAACTGTATTGATTTGGAATTGCTTATAACTGCCAGTGACAGGCTTTAACGACATAGACGTTTATTTCTCCAATATAAAGAAGTCTGGTGGTCAGCAACCCAGGGCTGGTATGGTTTCTCCTCAGCATCAGTGGAATGCCAGCCTTAGTGCATGGCCTCCAGCCCCCAGAGTAGTCTCCTGGCCCAAGAAGGCTGCTGCAGTTCCAGCTGTCTCATCCACGTTTCAGACAAAGAAAAAGAGGAAAGGGTAAGGGCAAAAAGATCTCCTGTCAGCCCCTTTTAAAGAGCTTTCTCATAAGCCCCATCCAACCACAGCTGCTTATTGACCACTTCTATCTACAAGGCAGGCTGGGAAATATAGGTTTTTAGCTAGACAAATCCCCTAGACAAATCCCCCCTCTCTACTCGTAGGGGATTTTTCTTGAAAAGGAGGAAGGGAAGAATAGAATGGATAGGCAGCTAGTACTCCACAGCAACGAGTTAAAAAAATTTTTTTTAAACCAGTGTCCTAGTCAAACCTAACAAAATGTCAACTAAGTCATTCAATGGGATTCAGAGTGCGTGCAGTCTCTGGAGCTCCATTGTTGCAAGTCAGACAGCCCAGGGTTTGGGATGTCTGTGTCAAAGCTTATTAGCTATGTGACATGTTTCACTCATTGGATTCTGTATCCTCATGTGAGGAATGTTGGGGTGATTATAGCAGCATCACACGCCCCAAAGCAGAAGCACACAGAAATTGAAAATAAAAGGATGGGCGGGGGGAGTTCCAGGCAGTGGCTAACCTGGAGAAAAGAAACCTGAATAGTTGTGAACCTTTATGCACCTGGCAACCTGGGTTAGGGGATAAGTATTTAAAAATTGACAAGGCTGCAGGGAGAAGTGAACAGATCCACAATCAGTGGGAGACGCTGACACGGTCTCTCTGAAATTGACAGATCTAGTAGTCAAAAAAATAAGGCTGAAGAGGATTTGAATAACTCAATCAAAACCTGATTCTACTATATATATGAATGTAGAATCAGGTTTTGATTGGGTTATTTTTTTTTTTTTAAAGATTTTATTTATGTATTTGACAGAGAGAGAGAGAGAGACAGTGAGAGAGGGAACACAAGCAGGGGGAGAGGGAGAGGGAGAGGGAGAAGCAGGCTTCCCGCGGAGCAGGGAACCCGATGCGGGGCTCGATCCCAGGACCCCGGGATCATGACCTGAGCCGAAGGCAGACACTTAACGACTGAGCCACCCAGGCGCCCCTGATTGGGTTATTAATTATATATTATGTTATATATAATTATTAATTTTGTACCTAACCAACAGATAACATGTTCTTTTCAACTCACACATTCTTTTCAACTCACACATGGAAATAGCTACACGAAAGACTGTGGGGAGGATCATATAAGATTGTCCGTTAAAACAGTTCTTCATTGGGCAGGTAATAAGTACTCATCATGGAGCTTCAAAAAAAAAAAGCCATTTCCTTTCAAAAATGGACTTCTTTGGAGCCCTGGAAGCTTATAAATAAATTACTCATTGGTCCTTGTTTATTGAGTGCCTACGGTATGCATTGGTGGAAAATAAAACAAAACAACCCGTACAGCTGTTTCAGGAATGAGCTGCTATCTGTGGAGCAGATAATTCTTCTGTTCTCTGGCCAGCTGTGGAGATGGCTTAACCCGGTGCAGGTGCTGGTCTGACCGGTGCCGTTAATTAACACACATTATTTGGGCCTTAGATAAGCCTTTGATTCACTAAGAGCACCTTGTGAGAACAGGAACCATCAGTTAAATATTCAGAGCACTGGGATGGGAAGGAATTCCTGGCAAAGGTTAGATGTTGACCTCGTGGACTTGGGTTAAGACCGACTGCTGGTGGGTTATCTACCACAGGCAGGAAATACTTGGGTTATACATCAGGAAGAAAATGTTTGCCTGGAAGGATTATAAAATAGCAACATGTTTAGAGAAAGAGGGGAGACAGCTGTTATTTAGGGAAGAGAAGAGATTTCCTCTGTGATTCAAAGGTTCCATCACCGCAAGGGAAGAGTAGTTTAAGTGTCCTTTAAGTGTTATAGAAACGTGGCTGGATAAAGGTGATGCCTAGGGGCTTGAATCATGGTCCCTTTTCTCTGACAAACATCATGCCCTTGGATGATAATAGCATTTCTTTCGTGCTTACTGTGTCCCCGGCCCTGTGCTAAGTGCTTCACGCTTATTAACCTATTTAGTTTTGACCACCATTTCGGGAGGCCGGTCCATCCTTACTGATCCCATTTTACTCACGAGAATGCTGTGGAGCACCTTGGCCTGGACCATCCATCCAACCTAGTGGCAGACCCCGGATCTGAGCCCGGCAAGCAGCTCCCTGGAATAGAATCTTCACCACTTCATGGGGCCAATCAGCAGCTAAGCTAACGATGAACATTTGCAAATCTGGGATAATCATAGCGAGGCTGGGTTCTTACCCAGTGCCAGACACTGCACTGAGCATTTAATATGTGTAGCTTCATTTCATCCTCACATCCACTCAATGAGTTATGGGTAGCGTCAGGGCCCCCCATTTCTCAGATGAGGGAACTGAGGCTCTGTGACTTGGCAGAGGTGGCACAGTCCGGTCTTGCAGTCGGTCTATCAAGTGTGGCCGTGACCAGGAGGTTTGTGTGAGCAGGATCCCACGGGTCGCACAAGAACCTGCCCTGGGCCTGGCGCATCACCCCTCCCAGAGAGCTTACTCTGAACTCCCCCGCTCTTCCCTCTCAGAACATGCCAATTACTTTGGTGTAGACGAGAAGCTGGGGCCAGTGGCGGTGAGCATCAAGCGGGAGAAGTTGGAGGACCACAAGGATCATGGGCCGCAGTACCAGTACAGGATCATCTTCCGGACCCGCGAGGTAGGTCGCATCACCGTTGTTAGCTGCTCACCTCTGTGAGGCCTTAGTCTGCGCCGGGTTCTGCGGGCACGTGCTTCCCCTTACATCTCACGTAAGCCGGTAACCTCCTGAGGGCAGTCCTGGAAGTCCCTCCATTTTACAGAAGAGAAAACTCAGACTCAAGAGAAATTCAGTGACTTGTATAGGATCAACGAATAAGGGGCCAGGCCAGGATTGGAACCTTGGAGAGCCCAAGATTGCTACATGTGCAAGAGGTTCACTCTCGTTAGCATAAGAAATAAAGGGAGAGCCATAAGGGATTCTTTCAGAATCTTGAGATGTCCTGCAGAATAGAGAGAAGGCAGCAAGCCTCGGGCAGGGCAGGAATTGGGGGATCTCAGCCACAGCAGCCACTGCTGTCAACGCCGTTCACCTCACAACACTCCCGGTGCTTTCAAGTCTGAGTAGAGAAACCCGTTGTCCTGGGTTGGTCGTAGGTCTTTGCCTAGATTAAATATCAGCTGTGGCTAGGGAACAAGGCCTGCTAGGGGCACCCTGATCAATTAGGGTGAATTGTAATGGACAGAAATCTAGTTCTAACTGGTTTAAGCCAGAAATAGAATTCATTGGTTCATATAACTGCAAATCTGGGGTAGGACTAGCTTCAGGCATAGCTGGATCCAGGCACTCAAATGATGTCACCAGAATTCTGCCCTCTGACCTCTCGGCTCCTCTAAGCTCTGCTTCTTTTCTGCATTGTGAATGTCATTCTCTTTTCTGCCACCAGCAAGCTCTCTCTATGTCATGGGAAAATGAGACTGGTGGCTCAGCTCTTCTGCATCTTTATACGTTCTCCTCCACAGGGGAAATATTTGCTGCCAAATCTGTGGGAGGACTCGGATTGGCTCTGCTTGGATCACATGTGCTCCACTGGGTCTGGGGGCAGGGCAGGACACTGTGATTGACAGTTCTATCAGACCCACCTGGAGGAGGCAGCTGGGGAGTTCTTCTGCCAAAAGAGGGGAGCTGGGCTAGCAAAAACAATAGAGACTTCCAAAAGACCCAAGTAAGGACCACCTTTCCAGAAAGGGGGTGGTAGTCATCTGGACAGGCCCCCCAAAATGGGTCTCCCTCAGCCCTGCCTTGCCCCGTCTCCCTTGTTCCTGGCCTTTGCCCAGACGTGGGAACCCAGCAGGCCGCTGCCGCCAGGGGCTTTGGGTGTGGGGCCAGCCGAGCCTGGACGTCATCCAGACTGGCAGATGCTGTACCAAGGGCCCTAGCCCATCCCCTCATGATGACCCTCTCGCTGAGGAGGAATGGGATGGCACTGAGGCTTTGTGGCAATTTAAAGGAGGTGGCCCCCAAACCCCATGCCCCCGACCACAGGTGGTCACCAGCCCCTCTGCCTCCCAGCCCCCTCCCCACTCTCCTTACCTTTATGGCCAGATGCACACCAGGGCAGAAGGTGAGGTGACAGCTCACACTGCTTCAGATTGTGTCATGACATCCAGGGAACTGCTGGGTGAGATGACAACAATCAAACAGGAATAAATAATATTTGTTACAATGACTCTGATGTTGCCGATCTCCTTAACGCTGTGTCATGTACCAGCTTTACCCTTCGTGTATCTTCACGCACTTAAATGTCCTGACAGTTCCATGGTGAAGGCACCGTTTGCCCCATTTCTGGAAGACGAAACAGGCCCCGAGAGGTTAAGGAACTTGCCCAAAGCACCCTCCGGAGTCCGCCTGTTCTCCGGCCCCCGCTCAGCTGCCTCTGGGATCCCGCTGACTCGGCTCAGTCTCCCCGACAGACCCACTGCTGAGTTACGAACTCACCTTGGTGCTAGCGCTGTGGTGGTGGTGGTTTTTATTAATAAAAGTGGAATACAGAGAACGAATTTTTTAAAAAACCAGCCTGCGTCGCACGTACCGGGGCTCCTGAGACCTGGGTGAAGGGATCCTAGGTCGGGGAGTAACATTTTTGCTGTGGTTGCTCTTCAGTAAGTTTGAAACCGGCTTAGTGCCGTGCCTGCTTCCATCCACTTCCGAGCCCCAACACCCACAAAACTTGCCTCCAGCCCTCCCCGGGGTGGGGGTGAGGCTCTTGAGGCTCAGGGCCGCAGGTCTGGGATTCGCTCACTCGGCCCTGCTATCTGCCAGCCCTGCGCTGCGCACTGGGAGCACAGGAGTGAATGAGGCAGCAGAGATGTTTGTGGGACTACACCCTCGTCGGGGAGGCAGGCAATACACACATACTTTAGTAAATCATACAGTGTGGTAAGCGATGACAAGGTAGAAAGTAAAGCAAGGAAGAGATAAGTGTGAGGGGTGGTTCAATTATTTTTGGCAGAATGGTCAAGGGAGGTCTCACTGGGAAGAGAACATTTGAGTAATGACCTGAAGGAGTTGAGAGAAGGAGCCATGTGGACATCTGGAACAAGAGCATTCCGGGCCGAGGGAACAGCCAGGGCAAAGGTCCTGAGGCAGGACCGTGTCTGGCACATTGGAGACCTGGTATGGAGTCCTAGTTTGGCCGCCCACCCGCTGTGAACGTGGGCCCCTGGCTTCTCCCCTCAGAGCCTCCGTTGCCCCCTTGGGAATCCCAGTCTCACAGGACCGTGGTGTGGGCCCCGAGGTTACACATACAGGCAGCGCCAGGCCTGGCACTCGGGGGGAGCCCAGTGAAGTTAGTTGGCAGGGAGTCTCCGTCTGCTGTCCCCATGTCACATTCCAGGCAGGCCTTTTTCTGCCCCCACAGCCTCAGCCTTGAGCCCGACTCTTGTGGAGCTGCCCTACTGGGCACTCGGGCCTGAGGACCTCCTCATCTGGGGTTGAAGGGAGGGCAGCGGCCAGCAAGGTTTGCCTCGCCTCTTGCTCGAGCCCTTCCTGTGGTGGCAGCAGGGCGGACAGTCACGCATCCAGCAGCAATAATAGCTAACACTCACAGCCAGACACTGTCCTAAGTGTTGCGTGTGCGTGGAGCCTTCAGGTCCTCTCAACAGTCTCATGATGTGAGTCCCGTTGTTCCCATTGTGCAGGTGAGGGTGCGAGATGGAGGCCCAGGGAGATCATCATTTGTCAGGGTCCCCAGTGGCAGAGCCAGGACGTGGACCCAGGCTGCCCGGGGCCCGAGCCCCAAGCCCCAAGCCCAGGCTCTTAACCGCTCGGCACCCTGCCTGTTGGGTCGAGTTTGAATTCTGGCTCTGGGAACAGACAGCCCTGGTTTTGGTCCAGCTCTGCCACTCACTGGCCACGTGACCTTGGACAGATGGCTTTGCCTCTGGGCTTCTCAGTTTTTTCATCTGTAAATAGGCTTTGTGCTGTTTGCTTCCCATCTCCGGGAGCGGCGGAAGGTTCTCTTACATCGGCACACAAGGCTGCAGGGCAGTGAGTGCCCTGGCTGTCGCTCTCCCCCACGAGGTGGCCGTGCCGGGGAGCGAGGGTTGAGCTCACGGGCAGAGTTCTGTCCTCCTGTCCACATGCACAGATCTCAGGCTCCCGTAAACCGAGGTGTGGGGTCCAGAGTGAAGGGCTCAGGCTGTTTTCCGAGCCAGCAGGCCGGCCTGCCCCAGATGGCCACCCCCGGCCGCCAAGCAGACAGTCAAGTGGGTCCCCATCTCCCAGCAGATGGGTTGTGAGCATTGGCAGCACTGAGCTTCCCACCAGGGCAGGGACAGACTGGGAGCTGGGCTTTGGCACCTCACGCCTGAACATCAGCACCCCCCCACCCCCCAGCCTGGACAGGACGAGCCCCGGGCCAGGGCTGCCCCGTCCCGAGCCCCTTGCTGGCCTCTCCCTCCCAGTTCACAGGGAACCCCAGCCAGCCAGGGGCGGTCTAATCTCTTGACCCAACAGGTTCCCCTTAGCCCAGCAAACACGAGTTTTTGACAGGCTTCGGTTTTGTTAGGGTTAGAGGTTTGAATTTGTCTTTTCTTTTTAATTTAAAAAATAATAGTCACTCGGGCGCCTGGGTGGCTCAGATGGTTAAGCGTCTGCCTTCCGCTCAGGTCATGATCTCAGGGTCCTGGGATCGAGCCCCGCATCGGGCTCCCTGCTCAGCGGGAAGCCTGCTTCTCGCTCTGCCTCTCTCTCTCATGAATAAATAAATAAAATCTTTTAAAAAAAAAAAATAATAGTCACTCATTAAGAATTTAAGTATATAAGTGTACGAAGTAGAAAAGGGAGAGTCTCCTATTAAGTGAAAAAAGCAAGGAGCAACAGTGTATTGACTAGGACCTCGTTTGTGTTCAGGAGGTAGCTCTGATTGTGTGTGTTTATAGAAATAATCTCCAAAGAGTATTGTTAAATGGGGAGAAAAGCCAACTGTATCTTCCTGTTAAAGATTAAATTTAAATTATTAACTATGCATATGCCTTTGTACAAACACATTTGACACGTGTGTATCCATAATAATGTCTCTTATGTATTGAGCGCTCACTGTATATAATGCTGAGCACTGCACGTGGACTATCTTATTGAATCTTTACAAGCCTGGGAGGTAGGTGCTATTATCCCCATTTTATAGATGAGGAAACAGGCACAGAGAAGTTAAGCATCTTGCCCAGGGTCACACAGCCAGGGAAAGGGTACAGTCAGGATTTGAACCCAGGCAGACAGACGCCTCAGTGACTTCCCAGGAAACGTTCCTGACGGGTGCACCCGCTGCCCAACAGAGAAGGGGATGCATCTGAGTCAGGAGCCAACATTGAACAACCGGTGCAAATCAAAACCTCCCGGCTTACATGGCCTTGAGGTCTTCTTATGGCTCACTTGACTGGTTATCCTCCGTAAGATGATGACAGGTATCATTGAGGGTGAGATCACGCAGGGCCTTTCAGCCTGAGCAGGGTGTATAGATTTTATTTGGAGAGAGATGGGAAGCCACTAGCCCATTCTATGCAGAGGAGAGGTGTGGTCTGACTCAAGCCGCTGTGGGAAAGATGGACCTGGCGGGGGGGAGGGGGGAGCAGCGGGGCGGGAGCAGGGAGACCAGGAGTAGGGCTATTATCATAGGCCAGGTAGGTGATGACGGTGGACAGGACCAGGTGGAGGTTAGAGATGGCTGGCCACTCGTTGCATCCTGCCAGTGCCCTACTTATTATCCCCAGCAGACAAGGAAAGGCTGGGAGCTTTTCAGGTCGTGGCTTTTGGTTAAGTCTTCAGAACCAGAATGTAGAGGGGCCACCTGTCTCTAGTGTGGGAGAAAGAATGAGGTGGAGGACCACGCTTCCCCTTGGGCCCAGCAGAGGGCGCTGTGGGCCAGTGTCAGCAGGATACAAACACCCCGATCCTGTTGGTGCGTTCTTTGAAACCCACTGTCCCAGGGCTTCCCAGACCAGCAGGGCAAAGCACCCGTCGTCATTGCTTTTCATGATCTGTTTCAAGATCATGATAAGAGAGTACTTGTTTATTAATTACTGGGGCCAGAACTAGGAACTCCCAAACACGAGATCATCATTCCATTCCTTCCGTGCATGCCTCTTGCCCAGGTCCTTTTTGGAAAGGGTGGGCTGTATGCTTAGAGGCGACGTCATGACACATTGTTTTTGCCACCTCCTGTGTCAACATGGTCACTTAGGGCCAGCATGTTTTTCCAGTTACCACTGATCCTCCTTAGTCTTTAAACCATAGCCTCAAGTGTGTTCTGGGTGCTTAAAACAATCGCCTCAGGGAGGATATTTTTACTGGTATTGCTGCAGACCCCCCATTGTGCTGTCTTGGGGGGCGCTGGAGCTGCAGGGCCTGGCCCTGCCCATGGCATCACCTGATGGCCAGCTCACGTTGTGGATAGAAGCCAGAGCTGGTGCAACAGGCTCACGAAGCAGCTGGGGTTCTCAGGGTAAGCGGGGCGTAAATTGGTACAACCACTTGGAAAACTTCGGTAAAATTGAAGATTAACATGCCAGGTGACTCAGCAGTTCCTCTCCTGGGTATAAACCCAAAAGAAAATGTGTTCGTGTGCACTACGAGGTGCTTCTGTGAGTGTTCCTAACAGCAGCGCTCATAGTTGTCCCAGCACTGGAAGCAGTTTCTGTGCTCAGCGGTAGAATGGATTACATCCGTTGTGGCAAAACATCAGCTCCTCCCAGCAGCGTGGTCGAATCTCGTATGCAAAGCATTGAGAGAAATAAGCCAGATACAAAAGAATACAAACAGCATGAAGCTCAAAAACAGGCAGAAATAAATTGTGGAGTTAGAAGTCAGGGTAGGGTTGCCTTTGGGGAGGAGGAGAAGGGATTTGGGGGCTGAAAATATTTATCTTTTTGATTTGGTGGTGATTACCTAGGTGTTCACTCGGTGGTAATTCCTTTAGCTATGCTTACATATGTTGCGTGCTTTTCTGTATGTGGATTATACTTCCCGGTTAAAAAAAAAAAAAATTAAAAACCTTCAAAGAAAAAGGTCATGAGTTTTGGAAAAGTCAGGGCTGCATTGGAATCCTGGTTCAGTCACTTAATTTTGGTGACCTTAGAGAAGGCACCTAACCTCTCAGTGCTTCAGTTTTTGTTTTTGTTTTTAAGATTTTATTTATTTATCTGTTGAGAGAGAGAGAGCACACACATGTGTGCACACGGGTGGGACAGAGGGAGAGAATGTCCAGCAGACTCCCTGCTGAGCGCAGAGCCCAACGAGGCCCTCAATCCCACAACCCAGAGAGATCATGACCTGAACCGAAATCAAGAGTCGGACACTCAACCAACTGAGCCACCCAGGCACCCCAGAGCTTCAGTTTTCTTATCTGTAAAATGGAGATAACAAAACCTCCCCTGAACAGACCTATACATCGAAATAGATAATTACTCTTGTACCTGGAATATAGCACCTTCACAAATGGGACTTTGTTATAAAGGTCTGTCAGAAACTGCTTTGTCTGTAAACCTGAAAACCTGACTAACCATAGCTAGAAGACATAGAGGGTTGCTTTAGTTCTCTAATGAGAAGTCTGGAGGTAGGCAACTGCAGAGATAAACTTCTCTGTGGTTTTTTTGTCTCTTTCTTCATGATGATAAGATCATAAGCCACAGCTCCAAACATCTTATCCTCACACCAATGTCCTTAACAAGAAGAAATGGGCAGGTGGAAAGACTTTCCTTTAACTAAGGGAAACAGATGTCCCCAGAAGTCCTTCCCAAGCTGAATGCCCCTCACGTTTCTTTACCTGGAGCTAATCATGTGGCCCACTATAGGAAAAACTTGGAAAGCACCATCTGGGAAAGGGGAATGAGATGGCCGTGATTGGCTGACTCAGGTTTTCAGTCCTGGCTACCCATCAGAATCCTGAGTGGCATTCAAAAGATTATGTGTGTGCGTGAGTGTGCTCACATGTGTGTAAATACACAGCTGTATAAATCTGAATACATAGATGCACACGTACACATCCCTGGGCCCCACCACAGACCAACCATGGTAATACTTTTACACATACTGGAACGAAGGCAGAGTGTTCATTGAGTGCTCGCCTTATGGAGCCTGTTTTATTCATTATACTTCTTACTACCTGACATAATCTGTCTCCCCACTTAAATGCCAGTTGGGTGGGGGCAGGGGTCTTTGTTTCATTCACTGCACCCAGAACAGGGCTGTACTTCGCGGGCGCTCAGTTGGTATTTGGTGAACGGATGAAGGTGTGCTCTCATCAGCTTAGTCCTCCCGGCACCTTTCGGGACTGTGATGCCATCACTGTACTCATTTCATGAAAGAGAAGCTGAGGCCCAGAGATTTAAAGGCGCTCATGATCACACAGGGAAGAGGCAGCAAGTTCAAGTCCTGGTCCAAACCCAGGGCTGGCCCTGGGGCCCAAGCTTCGGACCATCGCACACGTTGCTCTGAGAACAGGACTCTGTTCCCTTCCTAGGTCCCAAGAGCCTCCTAACCTGCCCTTCTCTCCCTGAAACAGCTCATCACCCTGCGGGGCTCTATCCTGGAGGACGCCACCCCCACCGCGACGAAGCACGGGACAGGGCGGGGCCTACCCCTGAAGGACGCCCTGGAGTATGTCATCCCTGAGCTCAACATCCACTGCCTGCGGCTGGCTCTCAACACTCCCAAGGTGACCGAGCAGCTGCTGAAGCTCGACGAGCAAGGGGTGAGCTGGGGGCCAACGTGGGGGGCCACCGCAATCCATCCTGGTACCTCTTTCTGTCTTGGTCTTTGGTTTTCTTTTTTTCAGAATAGAAACCCACCTAAGCTAGTTTCAGTAAAAGGAGGGATCTCTTGTCAAATACCAAGGGTGCCAAGAGCAGGGATGTGCTGGGTTCTCAGGAGAAAAATGAGGATGAGACAGCCACTGGGGGTGTGTGTGTGTGTGTGTGTGTGTGTGTGCATGTGCATGTGCACGCGTACGTGTTCGTGTTGGTATTCCCTCCCCCTCTCTGCACATAGGCTCCCTCTGCTTCTCCACCCTCCCACAGCTCCCAGAGTGACTTCGAAAATGACAGCTACCTGCAGACCCCAGCTGGCTGACTGTCAGTCCCAGGAGAGCCTCTGACTGGCCCACACTTAAGTCAGGTGTCTGTCCAGAGTCCAGTCCCCTGTGACCAGGGGAATAAGTGAGACACAGAACAAACATGCGATTGGAGGCCCACCCCCTAAAAACAGTGTTGACTGTGCTGAGCCCTGAGCCCTCGAGAATTTCCTTTTGCAGAATCTTAGCCAGTTCCAGGCTACCTGCTATGGGAGCCAGCCAAGGCCACGGTCTCTTACTCTTGAGAGAGTGGTGTGGCCCTCTGTAGAGAGAACAGGAGTCCGCTGCACAGACACTTCGTTGTGCCTCTCTGAAATGGGAAGGAGGGAGAGGGACAACGGGGACGTGCCCCCTGCGCCTCTCTCCTTCCTCTCTGGCTGTGGTGCTGGATGGCTGTGGGACCCCAGCAGCTCCCTGGGTGCCACGGCTGAGAAAGCCCCTTTGTTCCGTTCCCTCTGACGTCCCCGCCGGGCCCGCCTCACAGAGCTGCTCTCGCCTCTGCAGCTGTGCCGGAAGCACAAAGTGGGCATCCTCTACTGCAAGGCCGGCCAGAGCTCGGAGGAGGAGATGTACAACAACGAGGAGGCCGGCCCCGCCTTCGAGGAGTTCCTTGCCCTGATCGGGGAGAAGGTCTGCCTGAAGGGCTTCACCAAGTACGCCGCCCAGCTGGATGTCAAGAGTAAGTGGCACGGCGGCCTCGTGGGGGGAGCCGGGTAGATCGTGGGGGGGCCACCACTGCACCCCCACCCCGGGGGCAGAAGTCACAGGGCCTGGTGATAGCGGGGTAAGGACGCAGGGCAGTGGGAGCTCTCAGCCTCCGCTGACGGGGACGTGGATAGTGCAACCACTTTGGAAAACAGTAGGGCATATTCTAGTAAAGTTTGCAGGTGCACCTCCTCTGGGAGTCAGCAGTCGCACTCCCAGACGCGTCCTCTGAGAACTCGAACACACACACTGCGCTGGGAGATGTCCTGAGGGTTCATAACCGCCGGCACCTACACGGCGCCCAGCGCGCACGGGCAGAAACGTGGTGTTTCGTGCGGCACAGTGCCGTGTGACAGCGACAGCGATGACAGGAGCCGCAGGCGTTAGCCTGGACGAGGGCCGCGTGCTTGATGGTGAGCGGGGACAGCGGGCTCACAGAGCAGGTAGTGAGTGATGCCTTTTACACAGCAGTTATTTGTAAAGCACACTCGACAGTGTATCGTCTGGGGGGGTCGTTCTTGGGCAGTAGAACTCTAAAGAAGAGCAAGGCGGTGATGGACACGACCACGTTCAGGGTAGTGGTTGCCTCCAGGGAGAGGGTGGATATAATAGAAAACGGTAAGGATCGTGGAGTATCGGTGGCGGTCTGCTTCCTAAGGCGGGTGCGTGATACAACACGTTCGTTCTAGCACTTCTGTACAGACATCTTCTTATATGCACATAAGACGCGTACGTGTGACGAATAGGATGGAAGTGTTTCGTGGCAGTTTGGGGGGGATGGAAGAGCGATGTGGCGGTTTGGGGGCAATGGAAGAGCGATGTGGCAGTTCAGGGGGATGGAAGAGCGATGTGGCAGTTCGGGGGGATGGAAGAGCGATGTGGCAGTTCAGGGGGATGGAAGAGCGATGTGGCAGTTTGGGGGGGATGGAAGAGCGATGTCGTGAAGTCACGTCCTGGCTCCCTGGGGAAAGGACTGACTGCCCCTGGTCCTTGGAGGGGTGCGTTGCTGGGTTCGTTGCTCAGGCGGAGTCGGAAAGCCCTGTGATGGGGCCCGGGCCCGATCACTGGCTCTTCCCCTCGCCTTGCTGAGCCTCGGCTTCCTCATCGGGAAGAGGGAGGCCTAGGTGAGGAGACCGAGTTTGGCGAGATGACAGAAGCGTTCACAGGGGCCTGCGGCTGTCGTCCGTTCAAGGAGGCAGTGGGAGGAATAAGATCGTTGTGCCATCGCTGGTTTAGGGATCCTGGACCGGCAGCCTTGCCTCCCTGTGCCTCAGCTTCCTCATCTGTCGAGTGAGGCTCGTAGTTGGCGCTTACCTCGGGAGCACAGTGGTGAAGCTAACATACCGAGCCCTCACTCCGTGCCGGACCCCGGGCCTGCCCAGCCTCCCCGAGCTGCCCTGGCGCACAGGGAGCCCGCAGTAAGCGTTGAGTATTAGGACTGTGCTTCTGTTGCTCATTCCTTCAGGTGATTGCTTCACCGCGAAAGGGGCGGTCGTCCCCCTGCTCCTGAGGCTCAGCGCCCTTCCCCAAATGGTGGCCATTACGTTGCCCCCTCCCTTCCCTGAGTTGCTGTGAGGATCAGGCTCCAGCGCCGCGCCTTATGGAGAGTCAGCACGCAAGTGCCAACTACTGCCACGTGGCTTGTGTGGGAAGTAGATTGTCTCCGGAGGCCCCAGGGAGCACGGTGCTCTTGGCCAGTGTCCCCGGCTCCCATATGGGGATGCCCCGGGCTTGCGGCCACCCGAAGGTCACCTGGCTCCGGGCCTGGCTCTGGCACCGGCCAACAGTGGCTTCAGTGCCCTCGCCTGTCCCAGCTTCTCCCCAGAATGTAAGGCCACAAGAACAGGGTCTTTGTGGTTAGTTCTACCCGTTTCCACAGCACCTTCGGGTAAATAAAGCTTGGTGGCCCCGAGTGCCTGAAAGGGCCAATGAATGGGCCTCCTGGGGTGAACCTGACACCCTGGAGGTCCTTGCAGCGTGGTTCGTGGGTTCGCGCCTGCATTCGACAGAAACCTGCCAGCCTTCCTCCCTGGGCGGGAAGGAGCTGTTCAAGATGATAGAGCGTGCATGAGGAACCTGATCTTAAGTCTGAGAGGGGAAGGCCCCCCAGAAAACATGGCCTACAGCCTGAGAGGGGTGAGGTGGAATAAAAGAGGCAAAGAGGGAGCAGGAAAAGCATTCCAGGAGAAAGGAACAGCACATGCAGAAGCCCTGAGGTCTAAAGGCTGTCATCCAGGGAATTAATGTGGAGGATGGAGTGAGGAAGGCCGGCGGGACCCACCCTGCAGGGCCTTCAGGGCCCAAGTTTAGGGATTTGGATCTATTTCCTATAAGGAATGTGAAACCCTTAAGAGCCACACCGAGTACTGTTAAAACACCATGGAGTCAGACAGCCTGAGTTCCAGTCCAGACTCCACTGCACCTTGCAGTGTGACCTAAGGCAAGTCACTCCCTCCCTGTGCCTCAGTTTCCCCCTCAGAAGCATGGAGCCAATAATCAGATGTGCTCCCTGGTCACAACCCCCTCCCACTGGGGGCAACCAGTGTCCTGACTCTCATGATTATCATCCATCGTTTTGCTACCTATATATGCATCTCTAGATCTAATTTGTTCAGCTTGGTTTTGAACATAATGTGAATGGGATCCTATAGTACGTGCTGCTTTTGTGTCTGGCGTCTTTCATTCAACATTATATATGTGTGATTCACCCGTGTGGTGACTACAGCTCATTTCAAGGCTTTGTATTTTTTCACAGTATGAGTATACCAGTTTGTTTATTCATCTTTTTGACTGACGTTTGAAGGTGCTTGTTACCCTTATCCCAGGGCACGTGTATGCGATTTCTCTAGGTTATGATCCTAGGAGAGAAAGTGCTGGGTCGTCAGTTAAGCCCATCTTCAGGCTTAATCACTAGATATTACTAAGTTTTCCAAAGTGGTTGTACCAATTTACACACCTAACCAGCCACAGAAAGGGATCCAGTGGCTCTACATTCCCCAACAGTCCTTGCTACGGTCAGACTTTTAAATTTTTACCAGTGTGTTGGGTGTGTAACAGAAGGTTTCCTTTTTACCTAAATTTATTTAATTTTCAAGAGTGGAGTTAAGTGCAAACATCAAGCTGAAAACTAACGCAGATGGCCTGTGGGATGTGGCACAAACCCAGAGGTTTGGGAAACGTGGTGCTAACTGTGTTTCTGTTGCAGCTGACTCCACGGGCACCCACTCCCTCTACACGACATACCAGGACTACGAGATCATGTTCCACGTCTCCACCCTGCTCCCTTACACCCCCAACAACAGGCAGCAGGTCAGTGGGGCCCAGGGCGGGGGCCCCCACATGATTTCCAGTGGATGCACGACTGAACCCCAAGTCACTCTCCTTCCCTGCAGCTGGTAGCTGGCTGCCTGGCAGGCATCGCTTCTCCTTCTCCTGTCCCGTGCAGTAGATGGGGGGCCTGTGGCCTTGGAGATGCTCCGCACCATGGGCATGTCACCTGGGGGATGGAGGCTAGATCAGGTGTTGTTTGATACCAGTGTTTTTCTAGCTGTTCCTTGGCCATCCTGCTTGCATCTAGCTACCCAACTTAGCAGTCTCTTGCATCACCAGGGGTCCTGTGAAAAAGAAGAGTGAATCAGTCAACATGATTTCAACAGAAGTAACAGAAACGCAAACCAAACTGCCATAAGCAAAAACTGAGTCTTACCAGGTGGTATAACTCTCAAGTGCCTGGTTAGGGTTGGCTTTAGGTTTGGCTGGATCCAGGGCCTCAGTGTTAGGAATCCTTTTCATTTCTTATCTCTGCTTTTCTTCATCATGGCCTTCACAGGTCTTCCCAAGTAGTGGCAAAGATGCCCCCTGGCAGCCCTCTGCTCACATCCCACCAGGAGAGCCACCCCCGGGGAGAGAGCTATGCCTCCCTGGTGTCCCAGAAACGTTTTGTTGACCAGTCACTCACTTGCCGGTCCCTGGGCCTGGGGCAGGGGTGGAACAAGCTGACTGGCCAAGCCTGAAGCACATGCCCACCCCTAGGGAGGGTGAATGGGGTCAGCTCAACAGGAAATGTTGATAGGGATCAGGGAGGTGCTTTCCCAAAGGGCACGCACATGGCTGCCAGAAGAAGGAGGAAAAGGTACTAGGTGGGCAAGAGCAGCTAACGCCTGCTTCATGAGGCTCCTCTCCTGAACATGCCATGCAGACTCTGTCCTGAGACAACTCTTCCTAGTTTCTAAAGAACAGAAACCCCACAGACTTGTGGTTTAGAAAATGCCTGTTTTCTTCATTGGTATAGATGACATTGTAGATTATATAGACCAAAAATGGTCGGATCGGAGTGATCTCATGAAGTTAACCTGGTAGCATTCTGTAAGAGCATTGGTCTCAGAGTTAGCCCTGATTTTGAGTTCTTTACCACTTCTTAGCTTTGTGATCCTGCATCTTTGAGCCTGGGGTCCCTCTGCTGTAAAATGGGCAGAATAACGGCACCCATATCTTGGGAAAGGTCTCTGCACGAGGCAGGGCCCAACACCCAGGAGGGGCATAGGAAGCAGTCCCTCGTGCTGGATATTTGGTAGGTGGGGAAAGCTTGGGTTGCAGAGTCAAGCAGAAGTGGATTCAAATCCAGGCTCTTTCTTCCCGTGACTGTGTGACAGAGGGCAAGTCACTTAACCACTGGGAGCCTCAGTGTTCTCATCAGTAAAGGGTAAGGATGAGTTCATGCTCCACGGAGCTGGCCCCTCGGAGACCCGATGGTAAGATGCCTCGCCCGGGGCTGGCCACAGCAAATGGGTACTTTATCTAGCAACGTCACCGGTTTAAAGCACACATAAAGAACAGTTCCGTAGTGTGAATCGTGCTGCTCGGTGTAAGTGTATCTGGACTCCACATTCTGGGCCGCTTCATGTCGAGCTACACGGGATGCCCATCTGTGGACCTCACGTTCCCAACATGGATCCCTGACCGTGACAGTCACACAAAGACTCAACTCATGTAAATAGGAATGCTGTAATGTCAGCAAATAAGTAAAATACTGTGAATACGTCATCACCTGCAGAGGTAACAGTCCCTTGGTCAGAGATTGTGAGAAACAGAGGAGAGAGGACCGGGCTCCCGTGGGCCAGTCCGAAGCCACAGCTGCCCCAACCTTCCCACCCCAGGTGTCCGGGGCAGGGACGGCGGCAGCGGCCTGGGATGGGCTCTGTGGGTGGTGTCCGGTCAGCTGCCATGGGCCGTGAGCAAGTCCGCGTCCACCAGCCCATGCGAACCTCCAGTGGATGTTAATTGAACACCTACTTTGTGCCGACGCTGCTCTCAGCACTAAGCACACTGCAGTAGGCAGCAAATGAAACACCTGGGGACTCTTTTACCCCGAGTGGGGCAGAGCCACCAGAGGGCTCTGAGCAGGGAGAGACATGATCCAACCCAGGTCCATGGCTCCCTCTAGCTGCCTGTGGGGACCACACCGGGGAGGGGTGAGAACACGGGGTGGCAGGGAGGCTGCTGTGAGGGTCCAGGATGGGCCCTCAAGCCAACCTGTGCCGCCCTCCTCTCTCCCGTTTCCATTTACCAGCTACTAAGGAAGAGGCACATAGGAAACGACATTGTGACGATCATCTTCCAGGAGCCAGGGGCGCTGCCTTTCACCCCCAAGAACATCCGCTCACACTTTCAGCACGTCTTCATCATCGTCCGAGCCCACAACCCTTGCACTGATAATGTGTGCTACAGGTACGCACCCCTGCACCGGCTCCCCCCACCCCTGCCCCCTCCCCTGCACGCACCGGAAGTCGCAGCAGCTGATCTCCAGCCTCCAGGCAGCGTGCAGAGAGAGCCAGCAGCCGGCCCGGTGGACACCTCCAGTGCTGCCTGTGTGTGCTTCACGTCCCCACATGTCCTCACGTCCCCACATCTTCTAAGAGAGTGATCCTCAGTCAGAAAGTGGCATGGCACCCCAGTTTTCATTGGGGATTCGTATTTGCCTGGCATCTTTCGGTTGCAAGTGACAACACCGCCTCGATCTGGCTTAAGGCAGAAAGGCATTTGTATATATCGGCTCTCCCAAACGACAGGTTCAAGCGTAGCTCGATCTGCTCCACTTTCCTGTACATTGCTTCGTTTGCTGGCAGCTCTAAGCTTAACATCCTCCCAGCTGCAAATCCAGCAAAAGGAGGACTTTGCTTTCCTCGGAAGAGAAGCTCCAGAATTGAGGCTCACTGACCTGGTTGGGGGGTGAGGAGCCCATCGTGGAGCGAAACCACCACCAGGCCCAGGGTTGGGGTGGGAGGCACAGGGGCTGAAGCACAGGGAGTGACGGCCGGAAGGAGAATCAGAAGATGGAAGGATGGGGGCAGGGCAGACACGCACGTGTGCACGCATGCACCACTCTGGATATAGAGCTGAGGTTTCAATTCACAGATCAACAGGCCCCACAGGCCTCAGACCATTCAGCATCCTCCCAAGGGCCAGGTCTCACCCCAGGGAGTGGCCAGCAGCCAGAGGCCAAATGGAAAGCTGTCCAGGTATGGGGTGAGGATGTAGTCCTTGGAAACCAGCTGACAGATGACCTAGGCCCAGGCCAAGGGCAGCACATGTCCCTGGAACAGCACCACAGACTCTGGGGAATGGGCTGAGAACGGTTTGAAATTCAAAAGATACAAAAAGCAAAAAAAAAAGTCACAGTCTCCTCCCACCCCTGCCCCACCCCCCACCACCCAGTTGCCCTGTTAGTTTCTTGTGCATCCGGAAATTTCATACATGTGCAGGTAACTACTTCTAAGTATTCGTTTTCCCCTTGTTAATACACACAGAGCATGTCACACACGCTCACCGATCCTTGAGATCCCCAAACCAGTACATTAAGTGCTTTTTTATTCCTTATGACCGCACGACATTCCATCGTGTGGATGCACGAGACTCTTCCCCCCGTGATGGGCATTTGGGTTGTCCTGTCACCCACTGTTCCACTCCATCCTGCAGTGAATAATCTTATTTCTGTTCTCATTGCACGTGCGTCCACGTATACAGCTGGGGAAATTCCTAAAAACAGGGTTACTGGGTCAGAGGGTATGTGCGTAGGTGCACTGGTGGTCCTGATGGAATTGCCAGAACCTACCATTTTCCTGTCAGTGAGGTGAAGCGGAGAAGGGAGGAGGGCTCCATCACCGTGCAGCGCATGCGGTTCCTCATTCCTGGGACACAAAGTGGCCGCCGCAAGTGCCTCCGTCTTGCGGCTGGGTGAGCCTGAGCTCGCTCGCGGGATGGGATGTCCCACGTTCCTCGCATCAGAGGCAGGGCTTGAGCTGGGGGCGTGGGGTGGGCCCCCTCCTTCCCTGCTTCTGCCTGGGCTGTCACAGCAACCCACGGCCGACCCCCCGCCTCTCCAGGCCAGGCTTTGGCCTCCAGGATGCTGGCTTTGTTCTGATTCACAAACCCTTGTTTTTTTCTGTTTTTTGTTTTGTTTCGTTTCGTTTCGTTTTAAGATTATTTATTTGAGAGATCGAGCAAGCACCCCGCGTGAGCCGGCGGGGAGGGGCAGAGGGAGATAGAGAATCTCAAGCAGACACCCTGCTGCTCGCAGAGCCTATTGCGGGGCTTGATCTCACAACCCTGAGATCATGACCTGAGCCGAAATCAAGACTGCGCCACCCAGGCGTCCCTAAACCCTTCTTGTTTTTTACAATTTAAAATATTTTTATTATGCAATATTTTAAACATTCTGAAAAGCGCAGAAAATAATATAACAGACACCCATGTGCCCACCACCAGATTTAACAGATGTTAACATTTTGCCATATTTGCATCAGCTCTCTTTTCTTTATTTTTAAAGAAAGAAAATGTTAAAGACACAACCAAAGCTGCCCCCCCCTTCCGCACAGGCAGCTGGTCCCCAGACAGACCACACCCTGCCCCCCCGCCCCTCCCCACCATGTCCCCAAACACATTTCCATCACAGCACCCGTCATGCTGTAAAAATGACTTCTTGGTGTGTCCCTGGCCTCCTTTGAGGATAAACCTGTGTCACATGCCCCTCCGTGTATCTGTCATGGCACGGGGCCTGCCATCTAGTGGGCCCTAAAGACATTTTTGCTGACCAGACAGATGCCTGGCCCAAACATCATAGGCCCTGAGGAAATAATTGTTCAAGGAATAACTGTGAGTATTCTGGAAATACTTCCTGAGCTACAGCGACCAGGTGGCCTGGTGTCACGCCATCTCCTGGTCGTGTAGCGAGGTGCTGTCTTTGTGGTTCCAAGTGCGCCATTTCTGAGGGGCACGCTGTCGTCCCTGCGGCCTGGGGGCTGTGAAAACCCAGTTCCACCTGCTGGGACGTAAGGGACCAGCCGTTCTGCTTGTCCAGAAAGCTTCAGCAGCTTGTAGTTTCATGATTCTTCAAATCGTGGATCAGGACTATGGGAAACACCAAAGTCTGTCACTCTAAGCAGTGAGGTGCTGACTGGAGAAGTTGCAAAGCTGTTCACATCTGTAAAGTACAGTGTGGACACACCACGAATTAGAAAAACTGGCCAAGTCATCAAATCCCCCACCCCCCACCCCGCACTGTAGGCAAGGCCTTGCCCACATGGTTTTGGACAGAAGAAAACCCACCTGGTTTGTGTGGCCTTCGAAGAACCTCACCCCTGGGAAATGCCTTTTTCGGTCAAGCCTCTAGAAAACCTCCTGTGCATTGATAAAACTGTTTCTTCTTGGTCTGTTCAAGTTTAAGTCATTTTTTTTTTTTTTTTAAAGATTTTACTTATCTGAGAAAGAGAGCACAAGCAGGGAAAGGGGCAGAGGGAGAGGGAGAAGCAGGCTCCCCACTAAGCAGGGAGCCCGATGCAGGGCTGGCTCCCAGGACCCTGGGATCATGACCTGAGCCGAAGGCAGATGCTTAACGACTGAGCCATTCAGGGGCCCCTAAGTCGTTATTTTAATCAGTAGTGAACAGCTGTGCTGGTGCTGGGGGATCAGCTAAGCTCCAGGTGGCACCTGCCCACATAGCACTCCGGAACTGGGGAAGGGTCATTGGACCATGAACAGTGGAGGTAGCAGGCAAGGGATCTGGCCTGACCTGTCTGGGGTGTGCAGGAGCTTCCTCAATGATGATCTGCCTGTGCTCTGGTCCCTTCCAGTCCTTTCTTCATGGGGCAGCCATGGTGGTCTTTGCAGATCGTCAGTCTGGTGGTCACTCGTTGCTAGCACCTGTGTCCATCATGGACTGTTAAGAGGCAGATGCCCCGCTTGGGTTTTAACAGGGTGAATGAACAGGCTACTCACAGGCGGGCCTAGGTTAAGGGAACCAGTACAGGAGAGTGAGGCATCCAGGGGCCAGCAGCAGCAGGGAGCCATCACGCAGCCCTTTGGGCTTGATGAGGTTGGAGAGGATGAGAGAAGTTTCTGGAAGCTAGAGAGAGCTATGGCTCTGGGAGAGGGGCCACCAGACAGGAGCTATGGCTGTGACTTGAAGGATCAAGGACGGCAGCCGCTGCCACCAGCCCAGCAAGAAGGCCACAAAGAGAACGCCATCTGCCAACCTCCCTCTCCTGTCCGCTCCTGTCGCCTGCTGCCGCTTCCTGTTGGCGGAATTCACTGGAAGCCGGAGGGCATGGGAAGCCAGGTGAAGGTGACCGCCTGCAAAAACCCACCTTCCAGGGCACTGAGCAGGGCAGAGAATGGCAGAGACCAGATTGGGGGGTGCAGAGAGTGAATAGCGAGTCTAGATGGTTAAAGGATCGTTTGCTCTCACGATTGAGATGAAAAGTGCTAACACACCGTCAGGGCCCTGCGATGCCTGGCTCCCATCCTGCTCCTCGCTTCTGGACTCCAACCACCCCAGCCTCATCTTTCCCCATCAGGGCTTGCAGGTGCTGTACCCACTGCGTGCAGGGTCCTCCCCTCAGCTTTTCCTCTGGCTCCCACTCGGCCTCAGATCCCAGCATAATTATCACTTCCTCAGAGAGGCCCTCCTGGATCCCCCCCCCCCCCCCCGTCTAGATCCGGTCCTTCTGTTGTTCTGTCTGTAGCCCATTTGCTTTCTTTGTCTTTATAATTTAATTTGTAAGTGTGTGTGTTTGGTACGCGTCTGCTCCTGGATTAAAAGCTCTGGGGGTCAGGGACTACTGTACCCCCAATGCCCAAGAGACGGCGTCCCAGATATGCTTGTCACACAGAGGGAGGAATGTTACACTGTCCCCCTTGTCATGTGGGGGGCGGGTGGGGGCTGGGAGTCCTAACCTGAACAAGCCTTATACTATGTTTGGGTTTCATGGCATATGTTTTAGTCAGGAATCTCGTTATTTGAAAATTATTTTACCGTCTGGAGAGAAGCATTAGGAAATCTCTCCTAACACCGTGCTCACAAGGTGACATCTTTGTGGAGGATGAATACAATGCTCTTTAAGAAACTTAGCAAGCTGACTTTTCACTCAAATACAGCGACTCACACTGGTTTTAATCATCATCACCGAAACAGCATAGCTCCTGGAGTCTCCACCACCCCTTTAAACATCTTCCGGCGAGAGTCACGTTCCCCTGCCCCTGAGTGAGGACTCTGGAAGGGGCCGTAGCCTCTCTGCCTGACTTTAGCAATCGGCTGCCCTACAGTCACTGAGTCGCAACTCGATCTGGTCATTGGAAGGACATATCAGAGATACTCATCCAATCTTCGGATTTGACTTACCAGCGAATCTTCTCCCACCTCCCAGCTCAGGGCTGCTTCCCGCTGGAGGCCTCAATGGTTGGGGAGCCTGCTTACCTCTCCTCTGTTCCTCCACATTGCACTTCTGCAGCTAACGGCTGATTTCTGACATGTCCAGGGTTGGAGCCCCGGGAGGAAATGGGAGGCAGGCAGGTGTCACTGGACTGGGAGCACAGCTGAGCGCATGCTCCCTGGGCTCTGTGGGGGCTCCCAGCCCACCCTCCTGATCTCCCAGGCAGGGGGCTGACTGACCCCAGGCTCCTCCTGGCTATCAGTCACCTCAGGGGCGCCTGCTGCTGGCGAGGGTGGGTGCAGGCATGATGGGGCTCACCGCCAGCTTTCTCCAAAGGTGTTCCTCCCCATAGGCTCCTCTCTCTCTGTGGTTTGTGTAAGGGGTGAAGGGGCTCACTGGTTTGGCAGATCATTTCCTTTTTACTTTCTCAGTGGCTGGTCGTTTCTGTCACAGCGGCACCTTAGTCATAACCGCAGTAAGAAGGGTCTCTTCTAACTTCTCGTTACAATGAATTTTCAAAATAAGCTGTGTAGAGATGGTTTACATGGTATGTTAAGTAATGTTACACAGATATGTGAAAGAAGCAAATCACAGGGTCCTGGGATCAAGTCCCACATTGGGCTTCCTGCCCGGCGGGGAGTGTGCTTCTCCCTCTGCCCCTCCCCCTGCGTGTGTGCTCACTCTCGCTCTCTCAAATAAATATCTTAAAAAAAAAAAAAAAAGCAAATCACATAAATGTCCCACATCAGTTAGGTGTTCCCACAGTAACACTGCTTAACAAACCACCCCAAAATCCAGTGGCTCATAGGCATTAGCATTTTCTCTCTGGCCCACACGTCCGCAGGTCGGCTGAGGTCTGGCTGGCCTTGGCTGCGGGTCTGCTCCGGGTGTCCCTCCTCCTTCTGGGACCCCCTAAGGCATGTCCCTCTTATGGAGATGGCAGGAGCACAGGAGGCAAGCCCGCCTCCCCACATTTCATGCCTTGCTTGAAAGCCATTGGCCAAATCAAGCTACATGACCAGGCCCAGGATTGGTGGGGTGGGCATGTACCCGTCCTCGAAAGTGGAGAGGGAGGAGTGAATTTTTGCCAAACTGTAATCTACCAAATAGTTTATACGTATGTAAAATGAGAGCAACTGAAATGGAACAATGCTAGGAGAATTATTCTTGGAACGTCAGTGCATCGATGTTCTAACATCTGCTGTCCAGAAAGTAAACATGCATGCATGTGCCCTAAGACTATCTCGCTTCCAGTCTAGTTGGCCAGCAACTTACTAGATAGATGTAGATTTCCATTCTTAAAAAGCATACTCCTTGGGGTGCCTGGGTGGCTCAGTCATTAAGCATCTGCCTTCGGCTCAGGTCATGATCCCAGGGTCCTGGGATCGAGCCCCGAATCGGGCTCATGCTTGGCGGGAAGCCTGCTTCTCCCTCTCCCACTCCCCCTACTTGTGTTCTCTCTCTCCCTGTGTCTCTCTCTGTCAAATAAATAAAATCTTAAAAAAAAAAACAAAAAACACTCCTATTTCTGATCGCATATTTTCTTTCTAAAGGGAATCTCAAGTGCTTTTCTTTCTACCATCTATTTCTCCCTCCTCAGTATGGCTGTGACCCGATCCAAAGATGCTCCTCCTTTTGGTCCCCCAATCCCCAGTGGAACCACATTCCGCAAGTCTGATGTCTTCAGAGACTTCTTGCTGGCCAAGGTGATTAATGCCGAGAACGCTGCGCACAAGTCGGACAAATTCCACACCATGGCCACCAGGACCCGCCAGGAGTACCTCAAGGACCTGGCTGAAAACTGTGTCTCTAACACACCCATTGACTCCACTGGCAAGTTCAACCTCATCTCCCTGACCTCCAAGAAGAAAGAGAAGACAAAAGCGCGGGCGGGCGCTGAGCAGCATAGCGCAGGGGCCATTGCCTGGAGGGTGGCGGCTCAGGACTATGCCCAGGGCGTAGAAATCGACTGCATTTTGGGGATTTCCAACGAGTTTGTGGTGCTCTTGGACCTGCGCACCAAGGAGGTGGTATTCAACTGCTACTGCGGGGATGTCATTGGCTGGACCCCAGACTCCTCGACGCTCAAAATCTTCTACGGGCGAGGGGACCACATCTTCCTGCAGGCCACAGAGGGCTCCGTGGAGGACATAAGGGAAATCGTCCAGAGACTGAAGGTAAGGGATAGAGCTCCTCAGTGGTACAGCTCTTCTGTGGTTTGGCGGAGGCCTCAGGGAACCCGCCCCCAGCCCCATCAGTCAGGCCAGAATACTAATTGGCCGCGAGGGAGTCAGAATTGCCACTTAACACACTAGGGGGTCTCATGGGCCCTGCAGCCTGGGTTCTTTCTGGGGACAGTTCGGGCCAGGGATCCAAGGCTGTCCATGAGGATCACCTTGGGGAGAGAAAAGATAGATTTATTTACTCTAGGTCTTGATAGAAAATACAAGTTTACTCTTATGTTCAAAATGTAAGGGTACTTCCTAGAAGAATTAAAATAGAATGAAAAGCTTCAGGCTGTTAAAGGATAGGGCATAAAGCTGATGGGGGGGCAGGGGGGCGGATATAAGAAAGCATGGTAAAACAGACAGTTACATAACAGGAGTAATTCCAGATCCGTAATCATAATAAATGGGAATGGTTTAACTTCCTCTATTAAAAGACAAAGATTCAGTCTGGGTAAATTCTTGCTCAGGTTCAGAGTGTTGGCCAAACCAAGAGTGACAGATTGGTCCCAGGTGACAGCTTGGTAGGTGGTGGCCTGAAACGTGGTACTGAGAAGTACTCAGGCCACGTGTGAGCCTCGTGGGAAGGAACGGTGTCATTGGCAGTGGGCTCCCAGTGGGTTTCACAGAAGGCCACATCATGCATGTGAAATAGGGAAGGGAGCCTGACACAGACATGGGTTCTAGAGTCACAAGGCCTGGCTTTGGGTCCTGGCACTGCCACTGGCCATCTGTGTGACCTTGAGCCAAGTCCTTAACTGCCGTGTGACTGACGTTTTTCAGATGTCCCCATCTGAAAAATGGGAACAAAAATTACCCTACGTCATGTGAAAGTTTTAAGGATTGGATGAGTTACGTTTCCCAGACAAGCTTGCCTGACTCAGCAGGCTGTGACCTCCAGATGCCAGCGCGTTCACCCTTCTGGGCCTTTGCGTTCTCATTAAGTTCAAGTTGGGTTGATGGAGCCCTGCTCTCGGCTTCCCTGACCCCAAAATTCATGCTCAGTGTTAGACAGCAACATGGATGTGAGGTCCGAGAACCAGGGCCTCCATCTGTTTTGTTCACTTGCTTATGTCCTCTGCATAGATCAGGGCTGGCACACAGTAGGTGCCCAGTAAATACTGATTAGGTGGTTAGCTGAATGAGTTTAATTGAACCCTGCCTGTGTGCGGATAAGCAGCAGGTATGCGCAAGCTCGCAGTCATCCGCCCCACGGAGCATAGGTGCTGTTCTTATCCCCACTTGACAGGATGAGGAGATTGAGGCTCAGGGAGGTACAGACTCTCACAGAAGGTCATGCAGCCAGCAGGGGGCAGACTGGGCTCTGAATCCAGGTTTTCCTGACTGAAACCCATTTGTGCCTGAACTCAAGACTGGTAGCTAACTGCTAGCTCGGCATCTCCACCCGGGCGTCATGGAGCCCCTGAAACTCTGTCTGAGGGCAGACTCCTGGTTTTCCTCCCCTGCCCCACAGCGTTTTCCTGTCTCTGGAAAGGGCAAGTCCATCGCTACATTTGTTGAGGTCGGAAGCCTTGGCATCAGCCCTGCTGTTCTTCTCTCACTCCCACATCCCATCTGGCGGCGCCACCTCCGGTGGGCAGACTCCAGCTACCCCTCCCCTTCCACAGCCTCCCCCGGCCTCTCCTGGACTCTGCAGTCACCTTCTGTCTCATCTCCCTTATCTCCACCCTTGCTTCCTTAGGGTCTGTCCTGAGTAAGGCAGCCCGAGGGATCTGATCCCATCACTGCTCTGCCCAAAACCCTCTGCCCTCTCTAGATGGAAGCCAGGGTCCTTGCAGTGGCTTCTGAGACCCTGTGTGACTGGCTCCCTGTCGCTCTCTCCACTCTGGGTACACAGACCTTTGCTGCTTCCTGAGTGTGCCAAGCAGGCATCCAGCCTCAGGGCCTTTGCACTACCCGTGCCTCTTGCTGGAGCACTTTTCCTGATCTCCCTGTGGCTCACTTCCTCCTCTCCTTTAGTCACATGTCACCTTGTCAGGGAGGCCTCATTATGTAAAATTGCAACCCCCCCAACTTGGCCCTGAGCATATTCCACCCACTTACCCTGCTTTAATTTTCTCCATAGCACTTACACCATATGAAGCGTATTTATGTATTTGTTGTTCACCACTGTGTCCTCAGCACTGAGGTTGGAATGCAGCACACACTCGGCGAACTCGTACTGAATGCCTGGCTGCATATTGCCCTGTAGTAATAGCAAAAGCGAACATCTACGGAAGGCTGTCAGACCCTGCCCAGCACTTTGCACAACTTTGCATTTTTTTCCTCCCCAAAGCCCAGTGAAGGAGATGCCCTTCTCATCCCCACTTCACAGATGAGGAATCTGGGACCCAGAGAGAGTTAAGTGCCTGGGTTCTTAAACATAAGAGTATTCTTTCTCCCCAAATCCTGACAACAGCTCGCTTTTCTTGAGCAGTGACCATGCCGGGCAACGTGCCAGGTGACATGTTTTACCCACATCCTCTCTGTGCTGCTCCGTCCCACGCCCACCCCCGACCCTACTGTCAGCGCAGCATTTTACAGCCCGTTAGCACAGCCCCCCCTCACAATCTCCATGCCCCAGAGCCCACTGAGGATCCAGGTGGCCGGGAAGTGATGATGTAAGCCATCTTCTGTGAAGGGACAAACCCATCATACACGACTCATGACAGCAAGTCTGCTTCACCGAGTCCTCCAGGGGAAGGCATCCATGCCGTCCCCAGCAGAGCTAGGATTCAAACATCCTTCATTTGTTAAGTCAGCAAGTATTATTACTTGCTTCTGTTTGAGCTGGGCAGTGCTGGGACACAGCAGTGAGCATGATGGGCCCCAGCCACCCTCCTGGGGCTCCCGTCAGAGGCAGGAATTGAACAAGGAGTTACAAGTGCCAAGAGGTTAAAGAGCGAGTATTGAGGATGCCAGGGGAACCTATCGTGGGGAGAGGTCTCAGAGCCACAGGTCAGATGCAGCCCCCAGACCTAGTCAGTTAATTCCTAAAACTCGACCTTCGGAAGATGTCACGTGAGGGTAGCTCTCCAGGGGCTCTGGCTATACTGGGCATATGTTTGCACAGGGCGGTGGGCAGCTGAAGCAGGGCAATCAGCGCCCCGTTTCGATGGGGGCACAAGTGTACTATTTGGCCCTGGTCCCACCCGCCTACTTCTCACTTAACAGTACCCGCCAACTACCCCAGCTTGTGAGCCCGGGCCGGGGGGTCCCTGAGGAAACAACTTTTAAACTGAGACGAGAGCAAAAAGTCGGAATCATCGTGGTGCAGAATGAGGGGAAAGAAACAAGGGGGGCAGCGAGGAATGTGGCATGGAGGCTAGAAGCAGGAGTTAAAAAGTCAGGTCTGTACAGGTCTTACATCTGTAAGATAAGCAAATCAGTTGTGCCTGCCTCACCAGTGAGATACTGGTGAAATTAGGCCTATCAAGGGTTTAGTGCACTGAGAGAGAAACTTGACAGAAACGTCCAGTGTGTCCGTGCCCGTGACCAACGAGGCCACACCAGCACTGGGGGGTGGGGAGGGCCCGACCGTCCCCGGAGGCCACAGCGGGCCTGCTGACTGCCGTCCATCCTCCATTCCTCCCCTCCTGCTTTTGGTAGTAAGACCTCCCACAGCACAACAGACGTGGATGTTTTTATTACATCTCTTGAGATGATTATATGATTCACATCCTTTCTCTTATTGATGTAATGCATCACATTATTTGATTTGCAAATATTGAAACACCCTTGCAACCCAGGATTAAATCCCACTTGAACTTGGTGAATGCGGACACACGGGACGTTTCTCTGTCACCCACAGCCAGATTCTTCAGACACAAGGGTGACCGCTTCAGGGGGCAGGATTTGGACTCCCAAAGCGGAAGTAACGGGCTAGAATGGAGCCAGTCACGAGTTTCTCTCTCAGTACACTAAACACTAGGCTTTCCTTTCCAACCAGTTTAAACTTTTTAATTGTGGACGACGTCAGACAGCCGCCAAAGTAGAAGGACTCAATCTAGCAAACTCCCGGGCTGTCTCTGGCTCCCTCAGCTGTCAGCCAGCCCGTGGCCGGTCTTGCTTCTTCTTTCCCTCCCCTCCCTTCCTCCCCCCCCGCCCCGATTATTTTGAAACAAATCCGGGACATCCTATGGTCTCATCTGTACACATTTCAGTATTTATCGCGAAAACACAGACCGTTCAGAAAGCAACTGTTTTGTCATTATCATACACCGAGCAGTCATAGTAATTCTTTATCGTCACGTGAACAAGTTGGGCTGTGAAAGCAGCTGCTGGGTCTCGATCCAGAATTCTGGAGGACAGGATAGGAAAGGATACAGAGTGTCACGCGCATGCCAGTGAGTAAGGATCAGTACTGTTCTGTGGAGCGGTGCCGGCTCCTGCGTGTGCCGCCCACTGTGCAGACGTCCAGACTCTCGCCGTCTAGCTCAGATGTGGTTACATCCTCAGGTGAGTGCCTCCCCATCCACGCTCTCGTTTCCGGCTGCCTATGCCCCGCAGTGTGCTTGGTTTGGGCTGCAAGGAATGTGTGTGTAAACGGACGCGTGAATGCGTAGAGTGGTTTGTGACCTAAAATTTCCTCACGGGGCATTGTGATGAGAGAAGGGCGAAAGCCCCTGCTGTGCTGGGTACGTTGGGCGGCAGTGTTTCTAGCCACGGGATGGCTTCCCACCGGCAATTTGAACTATTGCACGTTCTCTTTCCTTAATGCAGTTTCCGGAGAGCACAGACCAGACCAATCTCGATGTAACTTGTTCAGTAGCCGTGGCTGTGGCTCGTTAGGTTAATCCTTGTCTCCCAAGAGGAGGAGGGAATTCCTAAGGACACGCTGAGGGACCGGGGTTCTCTTTGGCGGGTCCTCTTATCCATAGTAACACGTGATCATGGTGACAGTCACACACACATGAAGCAGGGAGTGAATCGGAAGCAAGGCCTGGTGTGGTCTGGTCAGCTCCAGGCTGGAGGACAGTCTGAGGAGGAGACTGGGGAAGGGGTTGTGCCTCTAAGAATGATGCCATGAAGTAAAGAATATGGCGCGAGCCCCCAACCAGAGAAGATCCCAGGTCTCTGGTCTGCTGCTTCTCCGGACTACTTTGGTTAGAGTCATTGGATCAGGATAAAATATTAGTGGCTTAAAACAACAAAGGTTTATCTGTTGCTCACACTCAATGTCCAAGCTTAGGTTCAGCAGGGGTCTCTGCTCCACATTGTTCTCACTCTGGGACCCCAGCTGACCACAAACAGCCACTCTCTGGAACAATCGCAGTAGCTGTGGCAGAGGGGAAAGGCCTACAGAGGGTCTCGCCCTGGCATTAAATGCCCCACCCTGGATCACCTGACAGTTCCACTCACAACTCATTGACCAAAACAAGTCCCAGAGCCCACCCCCAACAAGGGGGCCAAGAAGTGTAATCCCACTATCTGGGGAAGGGGGAGGCCAGGGGCACTTGGAGAACATGGCTCATGACTGCCACGGTCGCTCCTGGCTAAGAAGCCACATGGTTGCCTATCCTTGTTTCTTCAGAAGTCAAGAGCCCAGGCTGGGACTGGGTGGGTGTTTACACCTATATCCTGGCATCACATGGGAGGGATGGGGGTCAGCAGGGTCTTTGGCCCCGAAGGCGGGGAGGAATCTGTGCAGGGGTCATCCAGAGCTTGCCTATTGCCCACAGGTCATGACCAATGGCTGGGAGACGGTGGACATGACCCTGCGGCGGAACGGGCTCGGGCAGCTGGGCTTCCACGTGAAGTACGACGGGACGGTGGCCGAGGTAGAGGACTACGGGTTTGCCTGGCAAGCCGGCCTCCGGCAAGGCAGCCGACTGGTGGAGATCTGCAAGGTGGCCGTGGTCACACTGACCCACGATCAGATGATAGACCTCCTGCGCACCTCTGTCACCGTCAAGGTGGTCATCATCCCGCCTTTCGACGATGGCACGCCCCGGAGGTAAGGGCATCTGCCCTGCAAGGTGGGAGCCGGGTGAGGGGGTGGTGGCTTCCAGAGCACTGTCACCCGACGCCCTTTCTCAGCAGGAAGAATGGTGCTGGGGAAAGTCGACATCTGTCAAACACCCACTGCGTGCCACTTACGGTTGAAGCTGTCCAAATGAGCACTGTCCCATTTCATGTCCAAAATGGTCCCATGAGGTGGGCACCCTCATCAGTCCCATTTTCTAGATGATGCACAGAGCATTAAAAGTAACTTGCCCCGAGGACACACTGCACTTGATCCATTTCTTCAGCACGTATTTATTGCACCTCTAACAAGGTGCAAGCTCCATTCGAAGTGCTGGGGAGACAGCAGGGACAAAATGGAGTGAGTGCCTGCTCCCTTTGGAGTTTGTGTTCTAGAGGCAGGGACAGGCAGTAATGAGGTTTAAGAAGAAAATTAAAGCAGGCTGGATAAAGGGCCTGCAGTGTGGTGGGAGAGCTGCTCATGGGTCAGGGAAGGCTACTGGGCAGAGGCAGCCATGTGGTCTTGTCCAGGCCAGGGCGTCCCCAACAGAGTCTGCAGAGTCTCCGAAGTGTGAGTGTGTGTGGCGTGTCCATCCGTGCAGCAGAGACCAGTGTGGCTGGAACAGGGGTGAGAGGTGGGGCAACCTTCAGGGGAGCTTACACAGTGACAGACTTGGGTTTTACTCCACATACAGTGGGAAGACAACGGAAAGTTTGTCTTGTTTTTTTTTTTTCGTTTTCTTTTTTTCTTTTTTTTTAAGGTTTTATTTATTTATTTGACAGAGAGACACAGCAAGAGAGGGAACACAAGCAGGGGGAGTGGGAGAGGGAGAAGCAGGCTTCCTGCAGAGCAGGGAGCCCGATGTGGGGCTCGACCCCAGGACCCTGAGATCATGACCTGAGCCGAAGGCAGACGCTTAACGACTGAGCCACCCAGGCGCCCCTGACTTCTTGTTGTTGTTGTTGTTGTTGTTGTTTTAAGATTTTATTTATTTATTTGAGAGAGAAAGAATGAGAGCGTGAAAGGGAAGAGGATCAGAGGGAGAAGCAGACTCCCCGCTGAGCAGGGAGCCCGATGTGGGGCTCGATCCCAGGACCTCTGGATCATGATCTGAGCAGAAGGCAGATGCAGAAGGCAGACTGAGCCACCCAGGCCCTTATTTCTTCATCTTTTTTTTTTAAAGATTTATTTATTTATTTGAGAGAGAGAATGAGATAGAGAGAGAGAGCATGAGACGGGAGGGTCAGAGGGAGAAGCAGACTCCCCGCTGAGCAGGGAGCCCGATGCGGGACTCGATCCCGGGACTCCAGGATCATGATCTGAGCCGAAGGCAGACGCTTAACGACTGAGCCACCCAGATGCCTCTTTTTTTTTTTTTTTTTTTAAGATTTTATTTATCTGTGAGAGAGAGAATGAGAGAGAGCGTGAGAGGGAGGAGGGTCAGAGGGAGAAGTAGACTCTCTCTGCCTCCTCTGAGCAGGGAGCCCGATGCGGGACTCGATCCCGGGACTCCAGGATCATGACCTGAGCCGAAGGCAGTCGCTTAACCGACGAGCCACCCAGGCGCCCCCTGACTTGTTTTTTTAATAAAACATTTCAAGTGTGTCGAAAGTGTACCAAGCCCCGTTTCACCACAAGGCCAGCTTTTGGGGTTTTTCCAAGCTCTGTGCCTCCCTCCCTCCCTTGGATTATTTGAAGAAGTCCCAGTGATTAGAATGTATCTCTACCTTATAAGAACCTCTAAAAAATTATGACTATACTGAAAAATTTTACCAGTAAGTATCAACTACCCATCTGTGTTTACCTTTCTATTGTATCAGAGAGATCTTTGTTAAAAAGAATTGTTTCGTTAATCAGGCTGTTCCTGTTGTATTTGGTTGATGGGTCTCTTCAGACTCTTTTAATCTATAAGCTTCCCCTCCCACTTTTTTTCCCCCCTTGGAATTTATTTTGGGAAGAAACCCAGGTCACTTATCCTTTAGAATTTCCCACTTCCTGCGTTTAGCTGCTTGCATCCCCCTGGTGTCCTTTACCCTGTTCCTCTAGCACATAAATTTCCTATACACTGGAGTTGGATGTAGAAGCTTGATCCAGTGCTGGTTAAATTTCTTCTGGTAACGACACTTCCCAGGTGTGTATCTGTCACGAGGCACCACATGTCTGGTTGCCCTCCGTGAGTGACCCTGAGGGCAGAGGGTTAGGTGGTGGCACTTGGACCCGTCATCATACACTGTCCCCCTCAACAGCCATGGGCCATTATTGCCTCAATCAGTTATTTCATCATGGGTCACAGAGTAGCGAGTACTGTTCTCAATTCCATCATTCCTTCTTCATTTATTGGCTGAAATCCTTCTAAAAAGAACGTTCCTTCGGTAACTATTTGGTTACTCTGGGGTAGAATTTATTAGATGGGGAAGGCAGGGTAAATGCAGCTTTTAGAATGGTGAGTTGGTGCCCTAGCGACCTCCAGCGGTGGCCAGACACAGAGAATCACTACATCCCAAGTGCTGGACACACAGCTGCACAGAGGAGTCAGGCCTTGGCCCTCATGGAACTACTGAATGGATCAGGGGAGGCAAACGGTGAACAAGGGAATGTGGTGATTTCACATAGCAAAAGAGGGAGGCAATTGAGCATCGTGAGAAGGCAGGCTCTGCAGTGAGATCACCGAGGTTTGACTCTTAGCTGTTGCTCATAGTAAACCGTGGCCTTGGGCCAGTGGCCTCATATCCTGTGCCTCAGTTTCTTCATTTGTAAAAGGAGGATGGTGATAGATCCTTTCCCCAAAGATGGTGGTGAGGTTGGAGAAAAGCTTTGTAAATAAAGCAGTTAGAACAGCACTTGGCCTGTAGGGGGCGCTATAGAGACACCAGCTGTGAGATACTAGGTGTGAGGAAAGAGCAGAGCCTGACTTTGGACAAGGTCATCAGGGAAGGCCTGAAGGTGAGAAGGAGCCAGAAGAAGGGTCTTGCAGGGAGGGAGTGGCCATTATGAAAGTGAGGACAAAGGGCCTTGGCTTGTTGCCAGACCGCCAAGAGGGTCTGGAGCAGAGTGAGCCAAGGGGAAGGCTGACATAGGTGACACGCGACCCTCACTTTACAGATGAAAAACTGAGGCCCCGAGGGGACCCATCAGTTGTGCAGAGTTGTACAGCTACCAAGTGGCAGACAAACCTCAGTCCAGGTTTCCTAACTGCGGGGTGCTCGGCGGCGGAAAGCTGGCGAGAGCTGTGCGCATGCCCAGCTGTGCTTGCTCCACTCGCCCCCTCCTGCTTGCTCCCAACTTGGCCCGGGGCAGTTCTGGGCGCGCCTAAACCCTGCAACCAAGGGCTTGGCCTTCCCTCACCCACCTCCCCAGTCTCCCCTTGGGACTCCAGTCAAGCCCCAGGCGTCCCCTTCTCTCAGCCCTCTTATCGCGCCACTTCCCAGCCACACCCGCTCCAGGCTCTGCAGGGACAAGTCAAGCCCAAGTAACTCCACAGGCCAGCTCCCCAGCAGACCCCGCTCTGCCTCACTCTGCACACACCCTCACACCCATGCGCATGCACACGATAAGCCAGGCCGCCTGTGGGAGGATTCTCTGCGCTGGAGGCCACAAAGACGTCCCTGGACCTGCAGGTAGGGGCCAGTGGAAACAAAAGTAAAAGTCTGCAGGCTCCCTTCTCCAGCTTTGTGGAGGCTTTGGGGAGACCAGGCCAGGGAGGGTGTGACCAGACAGACGAGCCCTGTTGCCTGCCCTCATTAGGAGAAAAGCTATCACCCTATCCCGCTGGCAAAGCAGCCACTGAAACAGGATCTTCTGTTTGCAAGGGCAGGTGTGGGTTGGGACTTGCATGGTTTTTGTTGTTCTTCAAATGCAGAGGGGTCTGGCCGACCTCATTTGCAGAGCTGATCACCCCAGCTCTGGGGTCTCTCCCAGCCTCTTGCTGCAGCCCTGGCTTCCTAGCTCAAATGTCGAAATAAGCCATGAGGGCGCCTGGGTGGCTCAGATGGTTAAGCGTCTGCCTTCGGCTCAGGTCATGATCCCAGGGTCCTGGGATCGAGTCCCACATCGGGCTCCCGGCTCGGCGGAGAGCCTGCTTCTCCCTCTGACCCTCTCCCCTCTCATGCTGTTTCTCTCTCGCTTACTCTCTAAAAAATAAATAAAATCTTAAAAAAAAGAAATAAGCCATGAGTGGAGACACATGGGGACAGGTAGAGATGCTCTCCCTGCCACCAGCCAGGCTCTGCATGGTGTGCATCTAGACCCCACACTCTTCAGACACTGAATAGTAGATTGGATCATCCGCACGCTCCCAGGCCATCAGACGGGGGTTCTCAAGTGAGCGCTGCACCGCTCGCCACAGCTGAGCTGGGCCAGGTAGCCGGGAGAACGTCCCACTGCCTGATGAGATGGTCATCGTGACGTTGGCCGCTTGCACGGGCTCAGGAGGAATGCTCTCATCTCACCTTCTCTGTCGCTTCCTGATGGGGAAGGCCATCTGGGATGCTTTTGTCCCCTTCAGTTGAACTCAGGAGCTCTGGTCAAGGGGGTTGTAAACTCTTCCTGGAGAAGGGAAATTGAAACCCCACAAGTGAGTGAGCAGGAGGGGTAAGAAAGGAGTCCCCATGGCCCCCAGAAACTTGGCTGTTGGGAATTGAGGACAAGGAGGCAGTGAGGAAAAGAGGTCTGTGAGCCGGGGGGTGTCCTCTCTCAGACATCTCCCACACCCGGCTGAGGCTAGAGCATGCTCTCTACTGTAGTATTGTTGGTCGAGACTGGAAGCAACCTAAATATCCACCGCACTGGGTATTTAGGCCCGACTGGCTGAGTAAATCCCAGGTCATCCATGTGATGGAACAGTATTTGACTGTTTAAAGGAAATAAAGTGAATTTGTTTGTACTGAGAGGGCTCGGTAAGAAATATCGTTAGTTGGGGCGCCTGGGTGGCTCAGTTGGTTAAGCGACTGCCTTCGGCTCAGGTCATGATCCTGGAGTCCCGGGATCGAGTCCCGCATCAGGCTCCCTGCTCAGCGGGGAGTCTGCTTCTCCCTCTGACCCTCCCCCCTCTCATGCTCTCTCTCTCTATCTCATTCTCTCTCTCAGATAAATAAATAAAAAAAATCTTTAAAAAAAAAAATATCGTTAGTTGGGGGGCCAGGAGGGGGAAGCAAGATGGTATTTGGAGCTAAGTGTGCTGGCCTTTTTTTTTTTTTTTCCTGTTTTAAATAATATTTGCATAGAAATACTTGCATAGGATACTTTTTTTTTTTTTTAAGATTTTATTTATTTATTTGACAGACACAGCGAGAGAGGGAACACAAGCAGGGGGAGTGGGAGAGGGAGAAGCAGGCTTCCTGCAGAGCAGGGAGCCCGATGCGGGGCTCGATCCCAGGACCCTGGGATCATGACCTGAGCCGAAGGCAGACGCTTAACGACTGAGCCACCCAGGCGCCCCTGCATAGGATACTTTTGAAAGAACATATAAGAAACTGGAAGCTGTGGTGGCTTCTGGTAGGTGAACCCCGGGGACAGGGATGTCAGTTTTGTCCCACTTTCTCAAACTTTGTCTTGTGTCGAAATCATCTCCAGCAGCTTGGTAAAATGCAGATTCCCGGGCCCCCAGCTCAAGGCGGACTCTGATTCCGGTGGGCTGAGTTGAGACCCAGGTATCTGCGTTCCTCTGCTGAGCTCTCAGGGTGGTGTGTATGCTGCTGGTTCTCAGACCAATGGGGAAGGATCTGTTCCAGAGCCCCCAGCGGGATGTGGTTGGACTTCAGAAGGTAGAAGGGAGACTTGGCCTCTGAGCACATGGAAACAGCAGGCAGATTGGCCACAGAATCAGCTGGAAAAGGCGACAGTACCAAGGCCCCATTTGTTAAGCACTTCGCAGGCACCAGACTCTCTCCTAGTGCTCTAGAATGCCTGCAGCCACCGTCTTACAAATGAGGAAACAGGTTCTGGAAGGAAATCCTTCGCCCAGGGCCATGCAGGCTGGGGTCTGAACTGGCCATCTGGCCCAGAAGCCCTGGCTCTCTACTACCCTGTGCTGCCTTCAAGATGACTGGATAATGTTTCCCTCTTGGAGATCATGCCCAGGGCTCCTGGCCAAAGTCCACGCTGTCAGTAATGGGGAGAGAAGACCGGGACTCGAGAAATCTCACTGGCTCCCAAACCGCTCTTCAGGGGCCCGTGTGCACGGTGGTTAAAGTTGTGGCCTTTGGAGTCAACTTACTGAATTTAAATCCAGTTTCCACCTCTTACTGGCTGTGTGACCTTGGACAGGTTACTTAGCTTCTCTGTGCCTGTTCACTTCTCTCGAAAGTGTGGTTGTAGTGATCAGGATTCTGGTTCCCAACAACAGAACCAACTAGCTCAAGCCTGGTGAAGCAAAAGACAGACTTTCCTGGCTTCTATACCTGACAAACTAGGAGACAGAGCAAGATTTAGACGTGGCCAGATGCAGGGACCTAGACGCCCTCACCAGGAATCTTTATCACCTGTCTCCTTTTCTACCTTGCTGTCATTCTCGTGGGACAAAGGTGACCCACCCTTCTTCACAGTTTCAGCTTAGGACTCCCCAGCGCAGCAGCCCCAGTGAACCAGATCTTTCCCCCATTAGTTCCAGAAACAGTTCCAGAGTTGACGCCGTCTCTGACCGCACATGGGGCACGTGACAATCCTGTGCCGATCATGGTATCCGGGGGAGGGGGAGGAGAGGTTTCTGATTGGCCAGGCCTGGGTGACATTCTCACGCCTGCAGCCAAGAAGTGGGGTCAGCCCCACAGAGCACACAGACCTGTTCCCAGGTGATGGGGTGCAGGAGCTGAGTAGGCAAGAGCAGTGATGCCGTGATGGTCCCCTCGTCCACCTCCACCTGGGCCTGGCATAGCTATGGGTTCTGCTAGCCGTTTGTATTGTTGTCATTCCTCCCATGGTCCCTGGTGAGGCGTTGGTACCTACCAACCCAGAGAGATTGCCAGAAGGAGCTCTGACCCTGATAGTGCCAAAGGGCACAGTGTGTTGGGCCCAGGGGCCAGAGCACCTCCTTGGGTCACCTTCTGAAGACTCCTCAGCAGCCATGTCCTGAGCCCCCAGCCACCAAATCCACCACATCAGCCAGTCCTGAAAGTTGCCTGGGTTCCAAAGGACCCAGGAGATCCGCGGAGGCTCAGCTTGATGAGGGCATGAGAGCTTCGGGGTCGAGGGCTCCAGGCTCCGCTCCGGCAGCTGCTGGGAGGTGGGTTTCGTGAGCCCGGCCCGCTCCCAGGGCTCGGAGCCCCCTCCTGTGCCGCCCTGCAGCAGGGGTGGAGAAGGCCAGCCCAGCCTGCGGACCGCCCCGCCTCGAGCCAGGAACACCGAGGCGTGTGTGCCCGCCTGGTCTGGGGGGAGTCACAGGCCCTCCTGCATCTATTTCAAGGTTCTGGGTTTCATGGCTTTTTTTTTTTTTTTTTTTTTTTTCCCCAAATCACCCTGCAAAGTAGGTCACCTGCTCCTCTTCCAGCTGCCTTTGAGCTTCTTTGGAACAAGGCAGATACTATCCTTTGATTCTGAGGGCATCCGCCTTTCTGGCCCCGAGTACCGCTGCAGGGAGGGGAGGGGCGGGGAGGGGGCTGCTGAGCCATTCCATGGAGGACACTGGTCCACTTGAAGCCTGGGTCAGGGAGAAGGGAGAGGAAGAAAGACGAAGAGAGAGTGAGGAGGTGAGGGAGAGAGGGCCAAGCGGTCAGAGCCTCTGGGTTGGGCCCTGTCCTGACTGACTTCTCTGAGCTGCTAAGTTTCAGACCAACTTAAAGGGTACCTACTCGGCCTTTAAAATAGGCCCTCATGGTTCAGATTCGGCCAGAAAACCCAGCCCAGTGTGACGAGGCACTGGTCTCTCCTGGGCAGCAGGTACGTGTGCTGGTGGGTCGGGGCCCTTCTGAGTAACGAAGCTTTTCTTCCCAGGGGGTGGCTGGAGACCTACGACATGAATACCTCGGAGCCCAAGACGGAGCCAGAGAGCATGCCTCCCGGGGGCCGGCCCCCATACCGCAGCAACGTGCCCTGGCAGTGGAGCGGGCCTGCCTCCCACAACTCTCTACCAGCCTCCAAGTGGGCCAACCCCAGTGCTCCCGGCCATGCCCAGTCCCTGAGCCGGCCCCCAAAGCAGACCCCCATGGTCCCCTTCCGGGAGCCCCAGCCCCTGCACAGCAAGAGGTAAGGACTGATGAGGGGCACCACCCAGTGTCCCAGTCTGCATCCCTGCTTTGCCCTTTTCTCCCTCCTCCCTCTTTTGTCCAGTCTCTTCCTCTCTGTCTTTCTCCTCCTCTCCCCGTCCTTATGCCTCCCTCCCTCCCTTCCTTCCCTTAAATTTTCATTACAAGCCTCTTGTGTGAGGGCCCAGTGCTGGGGAGCTCGGTGTCTGAGGCTGGGTAGCCACCATACCATGTATGATTAAAACTATATATTTTTTGAAAGCTCAAGGGACTAATAAGCACAGACTTCTTGGTAGTGATCACTTCCTAGGGGAGGCAGGGAAGTGGGAAGGGGGAAAGCCCACAGGTAGGCGTGTAGAGGTGCTGCCATGCTAGTTCTTGGTTTGGGTGGTAGCTTTGGGAGTTTGTTTTATTATGATGGTGTGTATCTTGCAGATAAATTATCTTGAAGGTAGTGTTTATTTAAAAATAAAAATTTCTAAGAAATGAAGGAATCCAACTTGCAGAGGTGCATCTTGCTTCAGCGGCCCCCGTCAGGCCTCTGTCAGGGCCTCAGAAGCTGAGGGGCAGGCACAGCTGTAATGGGAGAGGGAGGGCAAAGGGTATCCCGGCTCCCGGACACCACCCTTTGCTCTCAGCAGCTCTCCCTGCATCCTGATGGGAGCATGGTAGACGAAGCAGATGGAATGTGGTTGGGCCTGAGGGAAAGGTCTGTCTTCCCTCCTCTGAGGGCAGGGGTATCCTCAACTCACCCAGCCTTCCGCCATCCCTCCTGTTTCTGTTGCAGGCCCGTCAGCTTCCCGGAAACCCCTTACACAGCATCACCAGCAGGGGCCGACAAAGTCCCTCCCTACCGACAGCCTTCTGGGAGCTTCTCCACCCCCGGCTCGGCCACCTACACAAGATACAAGCCATCCCCAGAAAGGTCAGAATCTCTTCACTCTTTCCAAATTAAGGAATCTGATGAGAACTGGGGATCCTCTTCCCCAGGAAATGCACAGACCCTACAAGTTTATTTGCCATTTGATGGAGTTTCTGGATCCCTGAAGGTCATCAGAGGACCTCCAGGAAGACTAGCTGTTTGTTGAGATTTAGAGCCAAGCTGCCCTGGGCACGACTCACCGCCGGCTTTCCTCAAGGCAGGATTTCTGCTGGCATGTTATTGACACCTGAATCACTTGCTTAAGCAAGACCATTTGCCTTCTAGAAGGCGTGGCCACTCAGCGACCTCTCCAGCTCCGCCTCCCCAGGACCAGGCCACCAGCATCACCCAGTTTTCCTGGCCTTTCAGCCTTCAGTCCTGTCCCCTTGAGCCTTTCTCCAATCTGGCAGCCTAAGGGATCCTCCCAACTCCTCCATGGCTCCCTGGTGCCCTGTGTCCTTGGTCCTCCAGGATCCCTGACTTAGTCAGGGGCAGCCCCTCCCCTGTCCTCAGGCCAGAGCCGTGGGCTTCCTCCTGGATGTCTCCCTTCCTCCTCCTGCCTACTGCAGACCATCCATTTGGCCTCCTGAGCAGCTCTGCGCCCCACCCCTTCCTCCTCCCCAGTGCCCCACCCTGGCCACCTCCCTGAGCCCCAAGCCTCCATCCCATCTCCTGTGGTCCACCCTCCACTCAGCAGCCAGGGGGATCTTTCTATATGTGGCCATGTCTGTCCCCTGCTTCAGACCCTCCCATGTGTCCCCCAGCCCTCAGGACATAGCCTCAGCACCTCGGTGTGGCCACCAGGCCCCACCCGCCTTTCCAGCCTCACTCAGCCACACCTCAGCCTCACTGGCCGCTTTCGCTTCCCTGGGTAGGCTGTCTGAATTTCAGAGCCCGCCTCCGTGTTCTCCCTCTGCCTACAGATTCTTCACACTCTTCACCCCACACTCCCCCGTCCTGCCAACTTGAGCGCTGATGCTTCTCCTCTGGGAAGCTTTCCCCGAACCTCCCCCTGCACTAGATGAGGTGCTGCCACTGTGCCCCTCAGTTCCCTGTGTATTTCCCAACCGTGACCTTGAGTGCTCTCCATTCCGTCAGCCAGGTCAAGAGTGTGTGTGTGAGCTCCTCTTCAAGATCTGGGACCCTCCCAGTGCGTCTTTGTGGGACCATCACGCAGCACAGAGGCTGACCCGTGGTAGATCCTCGGTATCTATTTGGTGAAAGGACGGGGTGAGGGAGTGAGTTGGTTTAAATGAGACCCCCTGCTGTCAGGGTAGGGATCCTTCCACTGATCTCCAGCATGCCTCCAGATCACCCCAAAGGGGCCGGGCCTCCCCCTGAGGCTCCGACTTGGTAAGTCTGGCGTGTAGAACGCGCAAGGCTGCCGGCCCAGGGAACACACGCCGAGAGCCACTGAACTAAACCATTGTTGGATCTCAGTCTCTGCTGTAAAATCGGGGAAAACAGACTCCTCTTCCATTTCCCGGCCACCACCATTCAACCTTCATTCAGCGGTGGATCTCAGGCACTGTCTGTTGCCGGGCCCATAGAAAGCTGTTTGAGATACTCACTTACCAGGGGTTCCTGCGCTCGGTGCCGCTGGCTGGCAGAGGGAGCGCCCAGGAAACCATGCGCACCCCGACGAACGCGCTGGTAGACTCAGGCCATGGAAGAGGGAGGTCTAGGCTGGCTGCCTGGAGGAGGCAGCGTTTGAACAGGGCTTTGAGAGGTCAGTAGGAGTTTGCCGCAGAGAAGAGAGAGAGTCTTTCTAGACAGAGCAAAGGCCACAGACAGGAGTAAGCAGAACAGTGTGGAATGCAGGAGGAATGGAGAGGAGTCTGGCGTGTGGGAACACCTGGGTGGCAGCAGCAGCTGAGGCTGGAAATGACAGTTTGGTACCAAGTGATTGGCCAAGAACAGACGTGGTGGGAATGATGTTACTGATAAATCCAGGGAGCATTTTTTTGTTTCAGAGTCTTGGTGTCCCTCTCCTTTATATTATTATTATTTTTAAACTTTCTGAAATAATTATAGGTTCACAGGAAGTCACGAAGAAATGTGCAGGGAGCTTCATGAACCCTTCACCCAGCCTCCCCCATGCAAATAGCAAAGCAAGGCATTGACATTGGTGCAGTCCATAGAGCTTATTCAGAATTCACCAGTTGCACATGGACACGTGTGTGTGGTGAGTGCGTTTGGTCACACGTGTGCTCTTGTCTAACCACCACCACAATTTACACACCATACCAGCACCTCGGAGCTCCGTCCTGCCACACCCTTCCCCTCCCCCATCCTGAATCTCGGGCAACCATTAATCTGTTCTGCATCTCTAACTCTTGCTATTTTATAACTGTTATATAAAAGGAATCACACAGTATACATCCTTTGCAGATTCTTTTTCAGCCAGCATAATTTCCTTGAGGTTCATTCAAACCATTGTGTGCATCAGCAGTCAGTTCCTCATTGCTGAGCTGTGTTCCGTGGTGTGGAACTAGCCTAGTACGTATAACCAACCATTCGCCCATCAAAGGATATTTGGGTGGTTTCTGGGCTTGGGCTACTACAAACGTTCATCCTCTGACCGTGCATGAAAGTGAATTTTTCTTGCCCTGGAACAAATGCCCAAGAATACCATTGCTTGCCAAGATACGGAAACAACCTAAGCATCCGTTGACCGATGATGAATGGATGAAGGAGATGTGATATGTATACACGCAGTGGAATATTATCCAGCCGTAAAGAAAGGAAGTCCTGCCATTTGTGACAACATGGACGAATCTGGAGGTTATTACGCTAAGTGAAATAAATCAGACAGAATAAGACAAATACTGGGTGCTGTCACTTATACAGAGAATCAAAACAAAAAGTTGAACTCCTAGAAAAGGTGGAGTAGAGTGGTGGCTGGCTGGGGTGGGGGAAATGGGGAGATTTGGGCCAGAGGGTACAAAGTTGCCAGTACAAGATGAGCAAGTTCAGAGGATCTAATGTACGTGTAGGCGTGGTGCCTTGAGTTAATAATTCTGTGCCGTGCATTTGAAATCTTCAGCATCATCCCCCAAAACAGGGTAACTCTGTGCCATGAGAGAGAATGCTTGTTAATATGATTGCGGTTATCACTTTGCACTGTGCGTGTACGTATATCGAATCATCACCTCGTACACCTGAAACGTATTGCAGTTTGTCAGCTGTGCCCCAGTGAGGCTGGGGGCGTGGGGGGAGCGATGCTCTCACACAGCGGACAGCGTTACTTGAGTGAATGGGTGTGCTGACTATTCTGCATTGCACAGAGGAAAGCGCTTGGGGGGGAAGAAGAAAGTACAACTGCTTACCATGTGGTAAGTCCATTTTTAGTTTTAAAAGGAACTGCCAAACTGTTTTCCAGAGTGCCTTTACCATTTTACACTCCCCCCTCCGCCCCACAAGCCCCCAGAAGTGTATGAGTGATCTGGCTTCTCCGCATCCTCACCAGCGTTGGGTATCCTCCCTGGTTTTCACTGTAGCTATTCTGATAGGCGTGTAAGGAGATCTCGTTGTGGTGTTTTTTTTTTTTTTTTTTTAAGATTTTATTTATTTATTTGAGAGAGAGAGAATGAGAGACAGAGACCACGAGAGGGAAGAGGGCAGAGGGAGAAGCAGACCCCCTGCTGAGCAGGGAGCCCGATGCGGGACTCGATCCTGGGACTCCAGGATCATGACCTGAGCCGAAGGCAGTCGCTTAACCAACTGAGCCACCCAGGCGCCCTCGTTGTGGTTTTAATACGCATTTCTCTAATGGCTGATGGTGTTGAGCATCTTCCCGTGTGCTTATTGGCCAACTGTGTATCTCTTCAGCAAGTGTCCGTGCCTGTCTTTTGCCCATTTTCTAATTGGATTCAACATTTTTCAGCTTTGGAGAGTTCTTTGTATATACTAGACACGAGTCCTTTGTCAGGCGTGTGATTTGCAAGTACTTTCTCCCAGTCTTTAATTTGTCTTTTTGTCTTCTTTTTTTTTTTTTTTAAAGTCCTTTTGTCTCCTTAACGGTCTGTAGCAGAACAAAAGGTCTCAGTTTTGATGACGTCCAAGTTACATTGTTTCCCCTCTTATGGTTCACGTTTTTGGTGTGAAGTCTAAGAACTCTTTGCCTAGACCTGGGTCCTGGAGATTTTCTTGTTTTTTTTCCTAGTAGTTTTATTTATTTATTTTTTTAAGTAGGCTCAACACCCAGCGTGGGGCTTGAACTCACAACCCAGAGATCAAGAGTCGGATGCTCCACAGACTGAGCCAGCCAGGTGCCCCTAGATGTTTTATTGTTTTATATTTCACATTGAAGTCCGTGATCCATTTTGAGTTCCATTTTTGCATAAGGTGAGAGGTTTAGGTTGATGTTACCTTTTTGGCCTGCTGACAGTGTCCAGTTTGCTCCAGCACCATTTCTGGAAAAGGCTCTCCCTCTTCCATTGCATCGCTCTTACTCCTTAAAGCGAACGATCATTGGAAGGGGAACTCAAGTGGGCACGTTTGTGTGGGTCTGTTTCTGGCTCCCCTGGTCTGTTCTGTTGAGCTGTATACATGATCTCAGTGAGTGCTCCCAGGGACTCCACAGGTGGGTACTTAATTATCCCATTTTACAGAGAGGAAATTGGCTCAGTGGATCCCCTTGGTCAGGGTCACTCTTCCAGGAAGTGGCAGAGTTGGGACAGGAACCCAGGCCCATGTGATTCTGGAGAGAGGACATTGACCCGAGCGAGACCTGTCCTGCCAAAGGACTCTGAGCTTATCCTCCAAATCAGGGTAAAATACACGGTCCCTTCTGGAGTCCCCACCCCACAGTGACACTTCATCTCTGTCAACATCTGGGTCCCAAGTTTGGCAGAAGGGTGCTAGCATGATACATCCCCTAAAACTTCAGAAGTGTCTTTCACAGCCGGTCACCAGCCTGTGGTACAAGGCCCGGGAGCTGGCCAGGACTGCCCCAGTGGCCTTTAGCCTCAGCTCCTTTCCCTTTTCCTCTCCGCACGGCCTCCCCGTGACATCCTGGAACCCGTGTGAGCCCGGCCAGACATTCCTGCGCAACCCTGGACTTCCCCCACTCGGGACTCCTCTGTATCCTGCTGTCTCCAGCGGGCCTGCTACTTGCCGAATTCATCAAGCTTTTAGGATCGTGGGGGTCCATATGCTCAGAATCTGTCCCAGGCCCATCTTAGATTCACTGGGAGACAAGGTGGTAAGATGGCCTGCCCTTTATCTGCCCCGTAAGTGTGGGCCAGCAGCTTCACCTCTCTGAACCTCGAGTTTGCTCCCATGTAAAATGTCTATCCCTGAGCAGCACTGAGAATCTTCATGGAGGAAAACCCTCTAGAGCACTCAGAACTGTGCCTGGCACACAGTAAGTGCTCCTTAACCTTGAGGATCATTACTGCCCCATGCAGCGCCTGTCCTGGCGGCTGGGGGACAGAGGCTGGTGGATGCTTTCCCTGTCCTCAGGAGTTGGCCACCCTCGTTCGCAAAGTGAGCAGACCACCAAACTTCGTATGGAGCATTAGGACAGAATAGTGTGCCCGGCTCAGCAAGCCTGCAGGGCTGGACTGGACCCTAGGCATTTGCTCACCAGACCCCCTGGCTGGCTTTTTTTTTTTTTTTTTCCCCTGTTTTTCTCTGCCAGCTCCATAAAGAGTGGTACATTGGTGAGGAGGCATTTGACTCCAGGTGACAGAAAACCTAACTCGAGAAGGCATGAGGCACTAAGGAGATCTATCATCACATAGTAGGTCCACAGGTGGGGTGGCTTCTTCAGGGAAATCCTCAGGGACCTGGCTCCACTTGTGACCCATGATGGCTCTTGGGGCCCCAAGCAGAATCAGTGCCCTGCAGAAAAGGAGGGAAGAGCCTCTCTTCGGTATTAAGAGTAAAGGAGCTAAGTCATTTTGCCTACCCCTCAACCAACCCCTGGCAGGTCACATTGGACCCGCACGACTATCTGCAACTGTCAGGATTTACTCAAGTCACATGACTGAGCGATGGCCGCCACTGCGGAACCTGGGCTTCACCAGCAGAGACCAAGAAGGTTGATGGTTGTTGGCGTGGTGGCCAGTTATGGCCACATCGTCCATCCACCCTCTCCCCGGTCATCTGGGAATTCACCCATGCGTTGTGCCATCAGTCCATGTAGGCAACTGGCAGAGCAGGCTGGAGCCCTCCCCTCCGGAGAGGCTCTTGCCCACGTTCACGTCTCTCTTGGTACTTTTCTCTGTGGCCATAGAGGAAAATACCAGGCTCAAAGCCAACATCCCGGCAGCCCGACCCTGCTAACACTCCCTGCAGGTGCTCCCTGCCTGCCTCCCCAGGTCAGTCAGCGCAGCAGCTTCTGCCTGACGATGCCTGAAACTACAGTGAGTTTCTCACCAAAACCCAAACCCCTTATCTCTAACGTGATGTCATCTTCCAAGAAAAGATAGAAGATGTTAACGTTTCTCAGATGAGCTTGACAACAGCGCTGGTCTTCGCTTCTTCTGGGGATTTTTGCCCAGAGCCATGCATGCTAAGAGACCAGCAGGTCCAGATTTCCAGTCGGCTTGATCAGGCCTTGGCTGTGATCTGCACCCCCAAAGAATGGGCAGCATAGGCCCGTTTATTACATCAGGCTAACAAAGTTCGTTCGAGAATTACACAGTTGCACAAAATACAGGTCGTCTTCATGGAGGACAGTAGCTGAGCGGTGAAGCCTGCTGAAATACTTCCAGCTACAGACAGTCTGTCAGGATTAGGTTTAGCTGCCTGAGAGAGAAAACTGACTCAGACAAGACAGTTTCTTTCTTTCCCCCATGTTGTCAGAGACCCCAGCTCCCCCTCACCCGTGCCCCGCCGACCGTGGCCTGTTGCCTCCCGGTCTTAAGGTGGCTGCTGCAGCTTCAGCCTTACGGAGGAGATGAGGCAAAGGCATCCACAGCACACTTCCAGAGATTTCCTGGAAGTCACATGCGACACTCTCATCTCATTGGCCGGAACTGCAAGACAGCCTGGAAATGCAGTCTGTTAACCAGTTACATTGCGGCCCCGGATACGGCCGGGGTTCCGTTACCGAGGCAGAAGCAGGGAGTAGAGACTGCGGGAGCCTCCACTCAGACCTTCCGCTTTCCTCTGGCTGACCCCAGCAGCCACTGACGTTGTCCTTCAGCACTCGGGATTTGATGCAGACATCTTGAGAAAATGGAATAAACGCGTCAACACTTCAGTTTCCCACCGTGGTGGAGCCGCATTATACCAGGCAGTTGGCTGACCGATAAGTCAGTATTGCAGATTGCTTTGCTTTTTCTTGTTCCGGCCCTGTCTTCCTTCCCTGGAGGAATTGGAGGTCAGGGTTTGGGCAGGTGGGGAGAATGTGTGTTTTCTTGGCAGATGGGTAGAAACAGAGTTTCTCCTCCAGAGCAACCCCTCTGCTGCCCGGGAGGCGTTGAAGCCTAGGGGCTCAGAGTTAGTCTTTGCAGAAATAGCTGTGGCTTCAGGCTGGCAGGATGACCCTGCAGTTACAAGTATAGACAAAAGGAACCAAATGGGGAAATCACAAAATCAGCTCTATTAATGGGGACTCAATTAAGTCTTCCCAAGTACAGGGGCGCTTCTGGCTGCAAGTAACTGAAATTTGGCTGGCTCAAACACTGTAGGAATGTGTTCTCCCACAGAAAAGGAGTCTCAGAAGTAGGTCAGGCTCGGGGCACCTGGGTGGCTCAGTCATTAAGCGTCTGCCTTCAGCTCAGGTCATGATCCCAGAGTCCTGGGATCGAGCCCCACATCCGGCTCCCTGCTCGGCGGGGAGCCTGCTTCTCCCTCTCCCACTCCCCCTGCTTATGTTCCCACTCTCACTGTGTCTCCCTCTCTCTGTCAAATAAATAAATAAAATCTTAAAAAAAAAAAAAAAAAAGTAGGTCAGGCTCCAGGCAGGGTGAATCCAGCATTTCAGCCACATTATCAAGGCCCCCGTCCCTCCCACCTCTTGTCTTCTGCCCTCAGCATCGGTCTCATCCTCAGGCTGGTAGCAGGAGGGCGACAACAGCTCGTGGTGTTCTGTCTGGACCCAGCAATACCTAGGTGAAGGAGAGCAGCCATTCTTCCTCGTCATGTCTCTGAGGAACCGGGAGACTTTTCCCGGAAACCCTCCTCAGCACACTTCCCCCGTGTCGGTCACAAACACCCAAAAATGTCAGTGACTTAAATCAGCCAAGGTGTATCCCGCACCCACACTGCAGCTTCAGCTGCTGGTTGGCAGGGGATCCCTTGGAACCTCAGCTGCTGGGGTCACTTCCCTCACAGCTCATTGACAAGACCAGGCCCAGACCCCAGTCCTGCTGTGTGCTTGCCAGGGGGAGGGCCAGACATGTTTTCTGAGAGTCTTTATAACTCTCACATCCTTTCACGTCACATTAGCCAAAATTGTGTCCTTTGCCTGTCCCTGAACCAACCCCAGGCGGGTAGAAGGGTTTCAGTCATGACTGGCTCTGATCTGAGGTGGAATGGACATTGGAGGCGCCCTAAGGATTCACTCCAGGGCGTAGAACCAGTGCCCCTGGGACATGAGGCCACAGGGAAAGCCTTCTGCCATTTCCTTCCCTAGATCTCAGCCCTCCCTGCGAGTGTACAGAGCCGGCCTCCAGGAGAATCTCTGTCCAGGAGATAACTTTGGTATTTCATCCACCCTGCAACCCTGTGAAGTAGAAAATGTCATTATCCCATTTTTCAGATGGGGAAACTGCAGCTCAGACTAATGAGCACTTGCCTGACCAAGGTCGCAGAGCTAGTAAGGGATGGTGCTGGGCTTCGAGGCCCACTCTGCCTCATTCTGGAGCCCGAGCACATAGCTTCTCTCCCGCAGCTCCTTCCTCCAACAGGGGGACAGGCACAGCGTTCTGGCCTGTTGGCACATTGTCACAGCTCGGTGTGTGCGTCAGCGTTGGGCTACGTGTGGGGGACACAGGACATCAGTCGGTCCTTTGAGGAAAGGCCTACTGCGATCGCCTCTTGACAATTGAGAGAAACGGCAGCTCAGGGCTAGGAAGGGACTGTCCCTGGCTGAGAAAGAGGCCAGGGCCCCTGTACCTACAGATGCTTTAGCCCTGAGACAGGCCTGGGAAGTGGGGCTGCTAACAATAGCTCATCCCGTTTCACGGCCAAGAAATAAGACCCCTGAGGAACCTACGGGTAGGGCCTCCGCCCTAGTGGCTTTTGCCCTGCCTTCCCTGGAGGACCCCGCATGGCCCTGCGCTCCCTGGCGTGCTTCCCAGGCAAGACTCATTCCTGACCCTCCGCTAATAGCACGTTTCCAGGATTACTCATCTAGCCTCCCCTCCGCGCGGAGCCTCCAGTGTATTTAAAACCCACCAGTGAGCAAGTCTCCGGCTCAGGTGGTTTTTGTCACATCAGCCCCTCACCCTGTGCTTGCCTCTCACTCCCCTGCAGGTATGCAGCCGCCCCACACCCACTGCTGTCTTTTGATCCCCACTTCAGCCATGATGGGATGTCCAGCGACTCCTCCTCGGGCGGCCTGACCAGCCAGGAGAGCACCATGGAGCGTCAGAAGCCAGGTAGGGCCTCCCCAAGGCTGGCTGTGCCCGCCCGCCTTGCCCCGCAGGACCTCTTCTAATCTACCAGGTGACACCCCTCCTCGTGTCAGAGATGGGTAGAACCCAAAAGGAAGCTGTTGGAGGGAGGTCACCCAAGAGAGCAGCACGGACCAGTGAGCCTGATCCTCCTCCATCCAGACGGGGCATCAGCAGATGGCACTCCCTCGGGAGCCAGCGTCCAGATGTGTGATGCGGGGGTGGCGACCTCCCGGGGAAACAGCTGAAAGTGGACCAAAAGCGGTGCCGTCAGGGGAGCAGAACCGACTGTGTTCTGAGGCTTTTCCTTACATAACCCCTCCTGTGCTCTCTTCCCACTGCTGTGGATGTACGGCCAATGCCGAGAGCAGAGCCCAGATCCTGAGTGTCTGAAGTGATAACCTGTCACGGAGTGAACGCCCCACGCCCCACACCTGGGGTGAGAGGCCGAACACGGCCAGCCTCCAGAAGCCCCCCGGGCCCCTCCCAGTCGGCGCCTCCAGAGGCCGCCCCTGCCCTGCTTCTCACAGCCAGACTTAGTTCTGCCTCTTCCTGCGTTTCATGTATACGAAGCAGACCCCTGCAGGCTAGACGCATCGTGTGTGCGTGTTTGGCTTCTGTCGCTCAGGATCGCCCTCTTGAGCATCGGCCACATGGTCGTCTGGAGCAGTGCAGTTTCCGAGGCGTATTCCACTGTATGAACGACCCACGACGTATTACTCCATTCTGGCGTTGATGGACATTTGGGTCGTTTCCAATCAGGGACGGCTTAGAATAGTGCTGTTGGGAATATTCTCGTACCTGCCTGTGCTGAGCACACGCTCACACTTCGGTAGCATGTCTGCCTGGGAGTGGAATGGCTGGGTCGCGTGTTGAACTTTGTAAGAAGCTGTCACCCCTTTTCCCAGGGTGACAAACCATGTCACGCTCCTGCCAGTGACAGAGGAGCACTCTGGTTGCCCCGTGTCCTCACCCACCTTTTCACTTCGGCTGTTCTAGAAGTGAGCACCTAGTGGCATTGCCTTGCACTTTTAATGTGCATTTTCCTGGTGCCTGACGAGACTGAGCATCTTCTCCTCTGTGTGATTAATCAGTCATGAGCATGTACACTTAGATGAATATTTGACATATAATTTCACACAGCAAACTTGTAGCCCCTCCGAAGCCTGAGAACTGCTAGATGGATGGGTGGGTTCAAAAGAAAGAAAACAAATGAAGCGTCAAAGAGCCTTGACATTTGGAGGAGGGAGACATGGAGCTGTCCTTTTAGATATTCAGGAATTTCCAGGCAGCTCCAGGGGATGACCACATCAGCACGTCTCCAGCCCCCTCAGGCATGGTGGGGCAGGGAAGAGCTTGCATGTCCCAGGATTAGCGGCCTGGGAATTCCTTGGCACCCCAACCCCCATGGTTCCCTTAAACCAGGGAAAATGGTTGAACTTCGGGCAAGCAGGTCACCCTCCCGACTTCGCTCTCCCTTCTGCTGCCCCTGGGGCCTGCAGACACGGCTTGCTTCCCTCCTCGGCACGGCCCTGCCTGCCCCTGTCCGCCCTTCTGTGCTCTCTCCTGCAACACACACAGATCTGCATCTCTTTCTCCCCCCCGCCGTTCAGAAAAAGAAAAGCGTTGTTTGGCGATCTCATGACACCAAAGTGTAAAACGGGGAGGACATTTTTCCAGTGTTCACCCAAATAGGGTGTCACGGAAACTCCCCATTGTCCTTCCCTTCTCTCTTCTCTCCTAGAGCTCGGTTCCCCCTTTACTTCCTTGGAACTGTGTTACAGGTTGACTTAACACCAGCGGCCGCCCCCCCGCCCGCCCCGAAATCAGGGCAATCTGTTTAGAAATCATCCTGAAGCCTAGAATTTGCTGAAGACACAGAGACAAGGTAGTTCAGGGTGGGGAGAATCAGGCACCATGACAGACGTGGGGAATTACCCAGATCAGATGATAGCAATCCTGGGAACAGCAATATGATTCTGCACACATGTTAGATGCCCAGTGCTGTACTAGGTACTCCCCGTGCCCTCTTATTTAATCATCTCAGAAATGCGACAGAGTGGGCACTTTCTACGGCTCCATTTTAGAAATGAGGAAGATGAGGCCCAGGAAGGTTGTCACTGGTCCGAGGTCCCTGCTGGTGAGAGGCATGATTTAGATGGAACCAAGACCTGTTGGGTGCTAGAACCCCTGAGCCCCCAGCATCCACAGATGCCACCCACAGCCCCTCACCTGCCAGGCGTGAGCATTTCTCAAGCTTCAGAGCACCCAGGTTGGGAAGGTGGCCCCTGAGTCACCAGCTGCCCCGAGTCAGCCAAATTCATGTCTGTCCCGTGACAAGGGAGATCATTCCAGCAGGAGAGCCAAGAGGTCACCAGGGGCTGGTCCAGAGAACCAGGAAGAGCTCAGTATCAGGGCTTGCGAAGGGCAGAGCCGAGGACCCTGGGGCAGCCCAGGAGGAAAGGAATCTGGCCCTTCATCCCTCCATTCATTTGACATGTCGCTAATGATAAACACCAGCCTGGGTGCCAGGACACACAGTGGGAGCCAGACAGGCACGTTCCCTGCCTTCTTGAAGCTGACAGGCTGGTGGAGAGACGGACAGCAGACGGGCACACAGTGATAAATGAGCATCATGAAGGCTGAGTAACAAGTGGAAACTGTAACACAGTGCTGAGAGAAATGGACAGGTTTCGGGGGAATCGCTGAGCAAATCACATTTCAGGCAAGGCTGGAAAAAGGCAAAGGAGTCCGCTGGGAGGAGAACATTCCGGGGAAAGAGAATAGTCAAGGTATACTGAGGTAGCAGCTGCGTGTAGGAGGAACAGTAAGGAGGCCGTGTGGCTGGAGAGGTGGCGGAGGCTGAAGTCGGAGGTGACGGGGCCAGAGCCTGTGGGGGGACTTTGTCCTTTGCTCAAAGTGGGACAGGAGCTCGGTCCTTCTGAGCAGAGGAGGGATGAGGGTATCCGTGACACCCTATCATCTGATCTGAGCAGAGGAGGGATGACTCAGGTGTTTACAGGGGCCTTCTGGCTACAGATTCTTGTAGGGCGGGGACGCAGGTGAGGGAGATGGGCAGGTTCTAAATACGGTCGTTGGAAGGTAGAGTTGACAGAATTTCCTGATCCTCTATGTGGATACAGGAGACGGGAGTCGAGGGTGACACTGTGGAGCCACGTGGATTGAGTAGGAAAGACAGTGAGCGATGCAGATTTGGGGGAAGATAAGGAGTTGGCTTTGGCCACGTTCAGCAGGAGGCATTGGGAGGCAGCCACATACACGAGTCTGAAGTCAGGAGAGGTCTGGGCCAGAGAGGGAAAGATGGGAGTCACCAACGTTATAGGTGGTAGTTGAGGCTGGATGCGGCTGCCACAGGCTTGGCTCTCTGTAGAAACATGGTCTCCAGCATGATCTGGCCACCTCCCAGGAAACCAGTACCTCCCGGGCCTGTGGGAGGCTCTATGGAGGAAAACCGTCTCCGGAGGTGGAGAAGGTAGAAGTGGGCAGCCTCCCTGCCACCACATAGACAGGACACCCTTGACTGTGCCAACCAGGCTGTTCTCTGCGGTGGCCCTGAGTGCCCCGCCCAGCATACCAGAGCAGGAACCTTCCCTGGCAGGAACATGGGCCCACAGTGCACTGGGGCTGCCCTGGAGGCAGCAGCCTGTGCTCGTGAGCTAGGCTCCAACAGGCCCTGTGGGAAGCTCAGAGTCAGCCACATGACCTCGGTGGTGACCTCATTTGTCCCAGCTTCAGGTCCCTCCTCTGCGGTGGACATACTAACCGTCTCTCCTTCCTGCGTGGTATGAAGGTCCAGTGAGATCACCCCCACACAGCCCTCTCAGCACAGACCCCAGCCCATCATTAAGAGAATGATGATGGCTGTTTTGCAGACACATACTCTCCATCGTTGCTAGTGTTGTCCCTGTTGGGGAAACACAGAGAAAGGGTGCAGGGGTGGACAGCACAAGTCTGAGGCCTTTTCTGTGTGACGTTGGACCAGGTACTTAACCTCTCAGAGTCTTGACATCCTTCATCTTTCGGAAGTGGTGTAATATCCACCTCGCAGTATTATTGGGAGGACTTGGCAAGGTAATGTGTGCAAAGCAGTTCTGGTATTACCTAACTCGGGTCATGTGCTTAATGGTCATCTTTATTATCATTGATTTCAACACAGCACTGATCAAAAGTGTGGCCCCTGGGGTTGGACCACCAGGGTTCCAGTCCTCTGTCCCTCTGTCCGTGCATTTGTGTTTGGTAGGTATTAACTGGTCCTCCACTGGAGCTGTACTTTTTTTTTTTAAGGTCAGTTGCTGAGTTGAAACACATTGACTACCTAGAAATGTAGTCATTTACACCCACACCAGCTGTCCCAATTTTAAACCTATCTTACCTGGTTCCAACAGCAACTCCACTTGTGGAGTTCTGGCCCAACACAATCCCACGCTTGCTCAAGGCTGCACATAGAGGAAAAGCCACCCAAACATTGTCGTAAGGAAGAATTAAAAATAACCTAAATGTTCCTCAGTAGGAAGCTGGTTTAAAAAGTGACATCCAGGGCACCTGGGTGGCTCAGATGGTTAAGCGTCTGCCTTCGGCTCAGGTCATGATCCCAGGGTCCTGGGATCGAGTCCCACATCGGGCTCTCTGCTCCTTGGGAGCCTGCTTCTCCCTCTGCCTCTCTCTCTCTCTCATGAATAAATAAATAAATCTAAAAAAAAAAAAGTGACATCCATTCACATGATGGAATGCTATACAGCCATTAAAAACAAGGTAACTTTATGTTCAGTTATGTGACGATGTACTATGATGCTATAAAGTGAAAAGCAAGTGTAAGTGTAATGTAAAGTGAAAAGTCACATTGTAGGACAAGGCTTAGTGTGATTCCATTTTTGTTTAAAGAAATAAGTTATGCACCTTTAGCCAGCAAAGGATTGCTACCTTGTGTACATAAAGAACGCTACTCGCCAATAAGATAAAAGACATCAATCCCCTGGAAAAATAGGAAAAGGAAATGAACAGGTAATTCACAAAATAGAAAATTCAAATGGCCAGTAAGGATGAAAATGTGCTCAACCTTCTCTGGGGGTGACGATGGAGGGGTCCTAAGGCTTCAACGAATTAACCCATGTAAAGCACTAGGATAATGTCTGGCACATACTAAGTGCCTGGTAAGTATTTCATTAGTGAGTGTTGTTCTACCCCAAGACATAAGTTGATGGGGTCATGGTTCTGTGTGAGCTGAGCCAGAGGGGTGGGACCATTTTTAGGGCCAGATTCCTCAGGTGGACTCAGGCCAGGGCCTGAGTCACCTCTAACCACTGATGTGTCTCCTGTCTTCCTGCAGAGCCTTTGTGGCATGTGCCTGCCCAGGCCCGGCTCTCAGCCATGGCTGGAAGCGGTGGGAGCAAGCACGCCTCCAGGCAGGACGCGGCAGGAACAGATTCCCCCAACAGGCATTCCAAAGTGAGTCTGGGCCCCGCCTGCCTAATCCTGGGGAGCCAGGGCCTCAGGAGCCAGCTGCCTCGCCTCCCTGACAGCTGTGGGCTGGCCAGTTTCACCGGGGTGTGGGCCTCTGAACGCCACACATGAGCACGTCCTCCACCTTCGCCTCCTCCACTCTAGCAAAGGGGCTATAACTGCTTGGTCTGGAACCAGCCAGTGAGCCTCTTCCACATGGTGATTCTGGAACCCAGGCTCGCTGTCCCTTAGGGCCTCAGAGCCCTCTGCTGGGTCCCTGCCTCTTTCTGGCAGATTGGGGTGGGAGCAAGAGAGGATCGGCTGGGAAGTCTCTATGGCCCAGGCCTGGAAATGGCATAAATCATTTCCGCTTCTATCACACTGGCCATTACATATGAAAACTCCATCACGTGGCCACACCGCAGCGCAGGGGAGGCTGGGAAACGTAGTCTGGTGTGCCCAGGAAAAGGAGGTGGTTTTGGTGAGCACTCGGCAGTCTCTCTGCATCCCTTCATTCAGCAGGAGTTTGGTGGGCACTTACCACATGCTGGGCCCTGGGACCACAGTGGTGGAGCGGACAGATGAGCCCCTGTGCTCACAAAGCTGACATCCCAGGGGGGGCAACGAGCAGGAAGCAGATGAACACACATGTTCTGTAACAGTTCTGTAGGAACTGGTCTTTGCTATGAAAGAAAACCAAAGCCCAGTTCAGGGAAGAGAGAGCATCAGGCGCTGCTGCTTTAGGGTGAGGTGGTCAGTGAGGACCTCTGGGGAGGGGACTGAAGCCCTGAGTGAAATAGGGGGCAGTCCATGAACACACCTGAGGGAAGAGCCTTCCAGGCGGAAGGAGCAGCAGGTGCCAAGGCCCTGAGGTGGGGGTAGGTCTGACCCATGCAGAGGAAAGCGAGGAGGCCTGTTTGGCTGCAGCAGAATGATCAGGCGGGAGCGGGCAGATGAAGTTAGAGGCCAGAACATGGGGCCAGACTGCGCAGAGCCTCAGGGAGGACTCTGGTTTTTCCGGTGAGTGAGATGAACCACAGGAAGGTTCTAATCAGGGAAGGGACATGAAATGGTGCATGAAATGTTCACAGCCTCCCTCCGGCTGCATGTAGGGAACAAACTGGGAGCCGGAGGACCAGGGGGGAGGCTGTTGCCGTGGTGCAGTGGGAGGTGGTTGGTGGTGGACGGGCCCAGGCTGGAGCCGTGGAGGACTGGAAGTGGCAGGTCCTGGGTCCCCTTTGAAGGTGCAGGCCACAGGATTTGCTGTGGGGCTGGACATGGGTGTGAGAGCAGAAGCAGGGTCCAGGGTGATTCCAAGACTCTTGTGGGGCGGCTGACAGGATGGAGGTGCCTTTACTGAGGCGGGGAAGAAGCGGATCCGGGAGGGAAGGCCAGGAGCGCAGCTCTGTATGCGTTGAGCTTCCGCTGTGGGCAGCACCTTGAATGCGTAAGGTCGTGTATCCCTCTGAGCAGCCCCATGAGGCAGGGTTATCACCCACCCAGCTTTACAGATGTGGAAAATGAGGCACAGGAGAGCTGTGTCATTCACCCAAGGTACCATGGCCAAAAGTGAGGGAGCCAGAGCTTAGGTGTGGGGAGGACGCCGGGAGGGGAGGTCCACGCCCCAGCTGTGGAGTCTGGGATGACACACTCGTCTCGCCTTCCAGGGGGAGCCTCCGTACTCCAGTCACTCCAGCAGCAACACCCTCTCCAGCAACGCATCCAGCAACCACAGCGACGACCGCTGGCTGGACCCCCTGGACCCCCTGGAGCCGGAGCAAGACCCCCTCTCCAAGGGTGGCTCCAGTGACAGTGGCATTGACACCACCCTCTACACCTCCAGCCCCAGCTGCGTGTCGCTGGCCAAGGTGCCTCGGCAGGCCAAGCCACACAAGCCCCCGGGAAGCATGGGCCTCTGTGGGGGCGGACGGGAGGCCGCTGGGCGGTCCCACCATGCGGACAGACGGCGGGAGGTCTCGCCGGCCCCCGCAGTTCCTGGCCAGACCAAGGGCTACCGCCCGAAGTTGTACTCCTCAGGCTCCAGCACCCCAACGGGCCTGGCAGGGGGGAGCCGCGACCCGCCCAGGCAGCCTAGGTAAGCCACCGCTCCTTACCCTGGTCCTTCGGGGAGCCCTGACCGCCGTCTCATCCCCCCGCAGTCCCGACATTGGGGTTCCCCTCCCTAGATACAGGCTCGCAGACGGGTGTGCTGACACACTAGTTTGCTTCCAAAGTCGGGAGGCTCGTGGACCACCCGCTACTGCCTATCGTTCAGCCCTCGGGTACCCTGGGTGGAGGGCAAGAAACCCCTGGCTGGCTGCTTCATCTGTCTCTGGTGCGCTCCGACCCTGTTTCTCTTTCCTTCTCTCTCTGCTTGAGACTAGTGGTTTTATGCTTTCTGAGGGTAACTGAATGTGTTAGGAGAGTGCATTTGGCTGGCGGTAACAGGACATCTGACCCACAGTGGCTTAAACAGGTTTCCCAGTCCCCTGATGGGAAATCCACAGAGGGCAGAGCCAGGCTAGGACAGCAGCTCAGGGAGGGCCTCAAGGCCTGGACCCCGGTCCTTCCTGTGTCACCATTCTTATCATACTAGCTGCAGCTTCCTCGTCTGACATAGCCGTGGTGCCCTTGGGGGGCATGGGGCCAGAGAACAGAGGAAGATCGCTTCTTATAGCTCCCTTTCTCTGGAGAAAGCAAAAGCTTTCCCAGAGCCCTTTGAGCAAGCGGTGTCGCGAGGAGGTCTGAAAGACCACGGTTTAGTCTGCCAGCCCCTAGAGGGCCGTCGAGCACAGACTGCAGGATCCTGCTCGGAGTTCCTGATTCAGTAGGTCAGAGCGGGGCCTGAGAATATGCATTTTGTTAAGTTCCTGGTGGATGGTGATGCTGCTGGTCCGGGGACCACACTTTGAGAACCACTGGTGGCCAGGCAGGCAGGCAGGGGAGTAAGTGAGAAGGAACTGGCATTGGTGAGCCATCAGTCTGGGGCCTGGACCGCATACGCTTTCAGCATCGGATGAAAGCCGCGAACCATCTCCCAGAAGAATGCACGGAGGTGGGAAAACGCTTCTGCCCTCACAGGGCTCACGTGGTTCTGGTACGTGTGTCCCCTCGAGGTCTGCGACCCCAGGCAGGGATTACGCTGCTGCCATCCCTGGTGCAGACCCCGGAGGGGCCAGCCCAGGACCCTGATACCGGGGGGTCCTCCTCTCTGGTTTCCTGATGTCTTTGCCAGTCCTCAGACCTACGGCCTCTCTCCACACAGGACTCCTGCCCCCAGGCAGTGGCCTCAGGCCTTGACCACAACCTACAGTGGCCTTCGTCCGTGTCTCTGCAAAAATAGCTGTGTTTTTTAAAAAGCGAAGCAAAAATGCCCCAAACAGTACTTAGCCTGTGTGTGAAGCATTCTGATGTAGTCTCATCTGTTGAGACCGTGAATACATCTCAATACCTCCTTAAATGATCTCATGACTTAGCAGTGGTTCTCTGACAGATTTGGAAACCACCGTGTTTGAGAGTGCTCCACCCCCTTGCTCTGGTCCCCAACCTCCCTGAATCAGGGGTCTCAGGGCACAAGATGGAGAGGGCACAAGTCCCAGTGAGCTTACTTAGGCCCTGGCTCAGCCCACCTCCCCACACAGGTAGTTCTCAATCATCTAAACTCTCAGACTTTTGATCAGCTCCTTCGTCCATTCATTTATCCATCTGTTTCACTCACAGATAATTTCTTAGGGATCTGTTGGGTCACAGACGCTGGGGTGGGAGCGGGAGAGAGATACTGAGCAAATGCAGGCGAGTCCATCAGGCCATCACTGAGACAAATGTCAAAGTGCACCCGCCCAGAAGGACTCTGCACCAGGAGAGTCCTGGGTGCCACGGGGGTCCCAGGTCTCAGTTCTCCTAGTCCCTGTGCTGGGCATGGGACCGTGTTAGTGAATCTGAGCAACTGTAGGGTTTTGAAATCTATGATATAAAGGCAGCAGCCCTGGGGAGTAGACTGTGGCTGAAGCCAGGGGGTGGGTATAAAATTACCCTGTGTCTGAGAGAAGGATTTGCTGAACCCAGAAATGAAGGGAATAAAATGGGAGAGGAGCCCACTACAAAAGAGGGGCCTGTGGTTGGGAGCGTTAATTTGCATACAGACAATTGATGCTAATTGCAAATCATTCTTATCTACTCATTAAGCTGCTTCCCGAAGTTTTCTCCTAGGCAACCAGGCTCTAGTGTGGAACGGCATTTCCCAAAATGGGGTGCTTGAGGTGATTTGGGTGGTACAGGAGGAAAATGTGTTTTTTTAAATGGATATATGTTTGCTTTAATGAGTATTAGGAAAATGTTCTCCGCCAATCCCCTGCTTTTACAGATATGGTCTTGGACAAGCTAAGGAAAAGAAAATTAACTGAGTTGATTTAAAGAAACATCTGCCTGGTAGATGAGAGGATGGACCTCCTCCAGGGTTCAAGCCCTCCCTCTGCCTTGCCTTGGCTGTGTGGCCTTGGGTAAATGACTGAACTTCTCTGGGCCTCAGTTTCCTCGTCTATAAAATGGGGGGATGCATTGCATGCCTCTACCTCCTAGGGATGCGGTGAAGACTGAATGAGCTAATGATTGTAGGGCCCTTAGGACAGTAGTGGGCAGTAGACCCTGAGCCTGCTGTCATTGAAATCACAGGGGATTGTTCTAAAACGAACTAAATCAGAATGTTTCTCCCGGGCCATGCCTATTACAGGCAGTGCTGGGGACAGCACAGTGACTTGAGACAGCCCCAGGCCTGCCCTCTCGGGGCTCAAAGTCCAACAGGGGAGACAAGCCCTTCCCCAGAGAGTGGTAGCCCGGAGTGGGCAGTGTCCGGGTGAGGGAAGCACCTGGGATGTGGGAGCCTGAAGGAGGGGCCAGACCCCATCGTGGAAGGGGCTTTCCTAGAACAGGAGGGTAGAGTGTCCCAGACAGAGAGGATGTGCAAGTCCCACTGTGGGCCCCGCTCTGCTGGCCCTCCCCCAACCTTACCATCTCGGCAGGGGAACCAAGTTCCCAGACGGTCACTGGGCACCTGCGCCCCGAGAGGCCCACGCGCACCTCCACTGTCAAGGCCCCAGGCCACCCACCGACCTTGTGCAACCGCTGCCCTTAACCTGCTTACTTGGGCTGAGCTGCAGGGACAGTCTGCTGCCCAGCCTCGGCTCCTCAAGGGCAGGCATGCGCGCCCCACAGCTGCTCTTGGCTCTAGTTCCCCAGTACTTTGTAACGGAGTCCCCTGTGTTTGTTCGCACAGCAAGTGCCCCGTGTGTGCCCGGCCCCTGCTGGGTGCTGCGGGCACGCGGGGCCCCTGCTGTCCTGACACTGACCAGATACCACGGAGACAGCAGGCAAAGAATGATAAAAGTAATGACTGGATTGTGCTAGGGGAAGGCCTGGGGAGAGAAGACCCACTGGGGTCTGAGGGTGGATGTGGGGAAGGGCTGGAGGGAATGTCTGACCTATAGCCTGAGGGGCAAAGGGAGTTTCTGTGAGGAGGGGTCATTTCTAAGATAAAAGCAACAAGGAGGAGGGAGCAGGTGAGTGGTTTCTGAGGGGCTGATGATATATTCTTGACCCAAGGTGCAGTTATATGGTGTCTGCTTTGTGACTATTTCTTAAGTTATACGTATATGTTTTGTACACTTTGCTGTATGTGAGCTATGTGCAATTAAAAAGAGAGAGAGAAAGGGGCACCTGGGTGGCTCAGTCAGTTAAGCATCCAACCCTTGATTTCAGCTCGGGTCATGATCTCAGGGTGGTGAGATCTAGCCCTGCATCGGGCTCTGTGCTCAGAGGGGAGTCTGCTTGAGATTCTCTCCCTCTCCCTCTGCCCCTCCCCACTCTCTAAAATAATAAATAAATCTTTTAAAAAGAGAGAGAGAAAGAAAGATGGGATGTGGAGAGGGTGTCCCTATGAAAGGGAGCAGCATGTGCAAAGGCCCTGAGGTGGAAAGGAGGGTGGATGCCGTCAGGTCACTGAACCACATGCTCCTTGGCTCAAGGGTAGAAGCTGAGGGGGCAGCTGATGGGAGGTTTTTCGGGAGGTCAGCAGGAGCCAGACCACACAAGGCCCTGTCAGCCACATTACAGAATTTGGATTCCATCCTCAGAGCTATGGGCAGCAAACAAAGGTTTCAGCAGCAAGGGTAGTAGAGGCAGATTTATGTTTTGAAAGATGGTGCTCGAGATGGGACTGGAGGCAGAGCATCAGGGACGGGGCTGAGGCTGAGATGAGTGAGAAGGAAGGGACCTGGGCCGGAGGACGGAGCAGCTGTGACTGTGTCAGCAAGTGGCTTTGCTAGGACATAAGGAGGGAGGGAGGCACAGGTCTGGGATGATGGCAGCGAGCTGAGAGTCAGGAGGCTGCTGTAGACAGGGAGTGGTGAGGTTCTTAAGAAGAGGAGAGCGGGGCAGGCCCAGCCCGAGAGGAAGGTTATTCTTATCACTAAAGCACCCACTGTGTGCCGGCGACTTCCAAACGTGGTGACGTGGCAGGGAACAGAGGTGTTTCTCTTGTGGAGCTGACATTCTCCCGGAGAGAGAGCAAGACAGACTGACAACTGAGCAACCACGTGATCTCACTATGCCGGGGGCTGGTAAGGTCTGGGGAGAAAAACCCAACAGGACGGAGAGCCGGGAAGGCCTCTCGGAGGAGTTGGTAAGGGATTGACCTGGGTAGAGGAAACAGCAAATGCCATGACCCTGAAGGTGAACTCATCTGCAGTGCTTAAGAAATGGTCAGGTGGCCAGAGAGGGGGGGAGCAGACAGGGCAAAGGGGGGAGAGTGGCAGGAGGTCGGTTTTGCAGGGTAGGCCAGAGCCCGGTTCTGGGAGGCTTACCAACCACGGTCAGCCGCTGGGATTTGGCTTGGCTCTGAGGGACGTTGGGAGCCATGGGAGGAGTGCGAATGCATGATCTGACTTAGGTTTGAAAAAGATTACTCTGGACAATTTGAAGGATGGAAGGAATTGAGTTACCCGCAAAACTCGGGAACTGCCAGGAGAGGGATGGGTCAGGCCGTGCCCGAACAGGGAGACACCCGCCCCCTCCCTCCCTGTGCTGCAGCCCTGCCACGGA